AGAGTCCCTTAACATCCTGCATTAAAAAAGAAAACCCCAGAGGACTTCATATTTAAGATTAATATCTATACTATACAACCCAGTAGAATGCCAATTTTTATTGAAAAGCCATGGCGGGGGGTGGGGGGATGGTGGTGTTGAGGGAAACTCAGTGAAACTAGAATGACAGACCTACCATCAAAGCTTTTCTGGAAAGAAAATAAAGAAATGGTACAATTTCAGACATACCAAATAAGGCAGTATAAACATTTCTAGATGTAACTAAAAGGTCTTAAAGTGAAAAATCTTAATGATTTCTCTGGTCTACAGTCTAAAATAATCAATCTGACCCACATTTTCACAGAATTGTCATAATCATGCATAGTTTAAAACTGAGGAATAAATGTCAACCTTTAGCCTCAGACTATGTTCTCGTTACTAGGAAACTAGTCTCTAACTACAACAAAAATATGCCTTCTTGCTTTAGAAAACAGATATGGCAAAACTCAGGTCTCAAATCTGTCTCTAGGAAGGCAGTTCTCATAAAACTGATGTCCTGTTTTAAAATATTACAATTTAAGTGCTTTAAATATATCACATTTGTAATGATTTAAGCCATGGTATATTGCACAAGAAATATTGTGCTATAATTCACTCTTTATTATATAAAAGCTTGATCAATTTAAAGGATGGACAATTTTCTTGAGTTTGTATTCTACCCAGATCAATGAAAAATCTTTAAGATTATTCTATAATAAGGGGCCTCACTCTAAGGGAAAAACCAGTGATCTGGAAATAAAAAAAAATTCAAGGGGCCAGCCCAGTGGCACAGCGGTTAAGTTCGCACGTTCTGCTTCTCTGTGGCCCAGGGTTCATCAGTTCGGATCCCAAATGCGGACATGGCACTGTTTGGCAAAAAGCCATGCTGTGGTAGGCATCCCACGTATAAAGCAGAGGAAGCATGAGCATGGATGTTAGCTCAGGGCCAGTCTTCCTCAGCAAAAACAGGAGGATTGGCAGTAGTTAGCTCAGGGCTAATCTTCCTCAAAAAAAAAAATTCAAGTGATTAAGCTTTGGGCAAATCCTTTTTGTGCCAGAAATACTATAACGTTAGAGCTGAAAGAGACATTGGTGGGCCTCTGTGTAGTCTCCTCATTTCTCCTTTAGAAAAGCTAGGGTTATAGTGTTTTAATATCATTTCCTCTTTTCCCTCAGGTATTTGAAGAAAAGTAAAGATATAATAATTACTGACATTCATATATTATTTTATAGTTTACAAAGTAGTTCTTCATTCATTATCTCAATTGATCCCCACAATAATTTTGTGTAGTAGGCACAGCAGTCACTATTACTTGGGTGTTATTTTACAATAGATAAAATTGAGCCTTGGAGAAACTAGACAAAATTCTTCTCATTTGGCATGGCTGGTGGGGCAAACAGAGAATTTGAATCAAAGTTGTCTGATACTCTTTTCACCAATCGTGCTGCCTCCCTATAGATAAGATGATAAATAAGAATATGACAAACTCCTTGAAGAAAATATGATTATAAATTCAATGCATCATTACATTACTGTTTAGAATTCTAAATGGTATAATAATACAATAATGTTGTATATTATTTTAACTAAAGCTAAAATATGAAGAGTCCAATCCTGCTGTTAGTACTTTTAAAAACTTTTATATCAACATACAAATTTCATAATACTTTGGTTTGACTTAATCTTTTTTATAATATTTCAAATACTTGAATTTTTTTTTATTAATATGTAGCAAAAGAACATAGAAGAGCACCAATGTTTATCTACAAACCACAAAGCAAAAAAGTTTTTGAGGGAGAGTCCGTGAAGCTAGAATGCCAAATCTCAGCTATACCTCCACCAAAGCTTTTCTGGAAAAGAAACAATGAAATGGTGCATTTCAATACTGATCGAATCAGGTAGGATAAGTATTTCTAGACTTAACCATAGTCTACTTGGGTGAATCCAGTTATACTTTGAAATGCATTATAAATGGCATGCATTTGTGATCTCAATTTGTCTGGTTTTTAAAACATATATAGACATATAATAAACCCCATTAAGCCAGAACCCATTAATCAGAAATTTTAGACATAAAGTAGGCTAGGATTTACCTTTTGACTATAATAAAGAAAGATGTGGCTCAAGGACATAGATGATATAAAGAAGATTGGGAGGGACGTTTAATTCAAGAAAACCAATAGCAATTTGGCAATGACTAGATACTGGCTCAGAATTTCCAAATGCTTCTTTTTTTTCTTATTAGTCTGACTCTGTATGATAGAGGCATCATAAATAAACTTTCATAGGAAAATTAATTCCTATACTTTCATTTTTTAATTGTTTCTTGTCAGCTTATATCATGATAACTCTGGAAGAGTCACCTTACTGATAAAAGATGTAAACAAGAAAGATGCTGGGTGGTATACTGTGTCTGCAGTTAACGAAGCTGGAGTAACCTCATGTAACACGAGACTAGATGTTACAGGTATGTCACGCTGCTATAAAGTGTAATATCAGGTGTTCTAAAGAATTTAACCAGGAAGATTTAATAAGAAACACAAATCCCAGCAGAGTATAAAATCTGAGAGATTTTCCCTATACATAATCAGTTTTGATTTTTTTTCTTTCCTATCTAGTAATGAATACCTAGTGCAACCCTTTTGTTTAGAACAGGATTTCTGAACTAACTTTTATTTGATCTATTTCAGCCCGTCCAAACCAAACTCTTCCAGCTCCTAAGCAGTTACGTGTTCGACCAACTTTCAGCAAGTATTTAGCACTTAACGGGAGAGGCTTGAATGTGAAACAAGCTTTTAATCCTGAAGGAGAGTTTCAGCGCCTGGCAGCTCAATCTGGACTCTATGAAAGTGAAGAACTTTAATAACTTTAGCAACATCGGAAAATGCAACAACTACACTATTAGTAACATATTCAATTAAATTTTTGAAATAAATCCATAGCTGTATTAACAGATTATGGCTTTAATTAGGTAATATAGCTAATATATTTATAATATTATTTATCCTTTGACTCTTGCACATTCTATCTACTTCTCTGATTTGTGAAGCCTACAGAAAATCTGGGCACACGGGTTTGTAATTGTAGAAGACTATCTTAAAATGTGGGATTTTAACAACTAAGTCATACACATTTAACGATTACAGGTTATGAGTTAATATCAACTTTTTAAACACATCAAACACACCTAAAGCTTGTAAGAAGATTTACTAGTACTGCTTTCTAAATACTGTTTTACTCATTTTCTCTTATAGGAATACTAACATGGTATAGATTATGAATGCTCCATAATTTTATGTCAAAAAAGAATAAAATTTCAAATATTTCAAACAGACTGTCTCCTCTGCACAAAAGTCTAGATCCTTAAGATAAAACTTCTGGTTTTTATATATTAAACAACACTCAGCAAACTCTATGAATGACAAGTTCCAAAAGAGCAACAACATTATATTCTAGAACAGTCTGTCTTCTTGGTGAAGCTCACTTACAGCTCAGTCAATTCCTCCTGAAACTGAGCTAGACTTTCCATGGTTTGCACCTCAAAGGCAGACACAGTAACTTAAGTCATGAGGAAATCTTTCCTGAAATTGTGATTTTGTTTTAACCAAATGGGTCTCTAATTCTTCAAGATCTTTGAGTCTATTGAGCTCAATGGAATAAGAATAGTCTGTAGAGTCATCTGTTTCTTATATTTAATATAAATTTGTATTCCTATATTTTGGGGGTTTTTTCCTCCTACATTTTAAGTTTAGATAACCCTTTACATTAGAGAGCTAATTTTGTGGGCATCTGAGAGTCCAAGAAGAGACAGGGGCCAATCTTTTTATTAAACTATCAAGCTGGGACAGTAGCCCTTTCTCTCTCTCCGGCCTCTGTTAGCCTTTTGCTAGGCCTCTCCTGTTCCTTTTATCTTTGGTAGTCTTTGACCCTCACTGCTGTGTGGCCTAGTTTTGCTTCTTATCTGTACATAAAACAGCATTTATCAACATCACTTCTCTTTCAGGGAAATAACAAAAGTGGCTTTATTTTTTCGTTTCAAAACAGCTTGGTGGTTTTCTTCACTGGCTGCCCAGGGGCTTTCGATTGAATTCCGTTTTATTTTCCTCTTTACCAACCTGAGCATCCCTCCTGTCTCATACCCTGGCGGGCTTTGAGATACTTTAATTTGCAACCAAATTTGTTTGGCCTTGTCTATAGCTGGTTTACAACCCTTCTTCTCATCTTTGTAAAGCTTCCGGGCCAGATGTGAGTCTGGGTTCCCAAGGACTACCGTTTTGGCCTGCCCTTTTACATAATCACGACAAAGCTGGATTTTTTTTTTTTTTTTTTTAATCTACCTTAACGTTCTCTTACCCATATTGGGTGGAAAAAGGGGTGGCAGCCACTTCTAGCAACAGCTCTCGGTTATCAAGAAGCAGTTTGGGCAGGTTGCAGCAGCAGCGTCGGGTCTTGAATAGGCATTTGGGCTTTGGCCTCCAGCAGACATTGCCCCAATGAGCCATGGACTTTGGTAAACTATTTACCCTCTCGGTGCCTCGGTTTCCTCAGACCTAAAATGAGGACAAAACACCTACCTTTCAGGAAGGCGGTGTGAAGACTAAACAAGCCAAAAAATGTTAAAGGTATGCAAGAAAAAGAAGCCCGTTATAATTAATTACTACGACTTTTATGATTAACCCCAGGCCCAAAGCCAGGTTTGCTCGAGAATTTGGCGCTCCACTGGTGGCAAACGCCGCAGGCTCGGCCCGGCCTCAGGCTAACCCCTGCCGCAGCATCCTCGGTGCGCATGCTCGCTTGCGACTTGTAGCGGGCTTGCGCCCTCTGAGCGGCAGGGCCCGCGCCGCGAAGCTACCGCGCAGGCGCAGCAGACCTGTGGCGGTGGAACGGGCGTCGCGGTCCAGGTCGGCCATGGCTGAGGCGTCCAGGTGGCACCGAGGCGGTGAGGGGTGCTCGTAGGGAGTGGGTGGGGCAGGGCCGATTTGGCCGATCCGTATCCCGTGGAGGGTACTCCGTAGCCTAGTATCTATTCATGCGAGAGATAGGGTCTCCAGCAACCTTAGCCCTCACATCCTCCCCTTGAGAAGCGGAGAGGAGAGGGACGGTGATCCCATTTCACAGACAGGAAAACTGAAGCCCTACGGGGGGCGGGCACTCGCCCCTTGCCCGAGGCTTGAGCTAGGGCTGTCGCTTGCTGTCCAATGACCGTCGCTAGGCCAGCGTCCGACGTCCTTTGTTGATGTAGGGAGTCATGTCCTTGACGGAGCCCTGGGCCGAGCTCGTTTCCCCCTCCAGCTGAAGCCCGCCATCCCAAGAAGCCGTGTTGACGGGTAGAGAAAATGTTAGGGGCAGATGAGGGGTTTTTGTTTGTTTTGTATTTTGCTTTTTCATTTTAAGACACATCCAGTGAGGAAACATCCAAGTTATAAAATTCATTAGTATACAGTCATAAAATGACTGCCCTCTGACCCCCATGGGAACATGTAAGTAACGATTCCTCCTTCATAAAAGTGAGAATAAAAAAGGAACCAGAATCCGTTGGACCCTTCCTTCACACACTGTAACAGCTAACAGTGGCTGTGTCTTCCTATCGGTATTTGTGTACGTTATAAATTACAGAATGTGAGGGAAATTTTTGTTTTATATCTCACAGGGACTCCGCAACACAAGCCACATTACGGCCGGGAAGTAGAAATTAGAACTACTCTCCAGGAGTTGTTACTCTACTTAATTTTTTTAGTAAACCTATGTATATGTAAGTACACAGATGTAGATGATAACAGTATTTGAACTAAGAAGTTACGTGGAGACGAAAAACAAAACATGGGCTTTATAAAACCATAGGCTTTCAGACTAGCAAAACCTCTTGAAAAATAGTGACACATTTTAGACATTATCTTAAATGAATTTTAGATTGAGGCTATTTCCAGCTCTGAATGGGCAAAACTTTAGGTCACAGATATAATGAGAATCTTTCATGTCAATGTTGATTGAATTAATTATTCCTTTGGTTGGCAGTTCTATCTTAAATATCATTATTCCCTTGAGTTGGCAATTCTAACTTGATTTCTTTTAGAGCTATATAGGTACATTAACTTACTTTCATAGGTCAAACTACAAATAAGGCCAAAGAAGTTAGTCTTGATGTCTGCTTTGTTCTTTCTCTGGCCTGTTGCACAGTTAATAGTGAAATATATTAGTGCTGAGCCACAGAAGGTATGGATCAATGCAAATCCTTAAGGAGGACCAGGAAAACATTTCAGCCTGCATTCCTCCTATTTGTGGGTCAGTAGCATTGACTTAATCAGTATTAAAGAGCATTTTGTCTTTAGAGCACCCAACAGACAGTAGATGTAAGCTCGCTGATGGGACTTATCTCGTGTTGGTATGGCCTACATACTAGCAACTATATATCAATTAACTAATGAATTGGTATTGTAGGGGTGAGTTTGAGTCAGATCTTGATTAAAAAGACAACTATGGTCAATCTTATAAATTAAGATATCTTAGACTGGTTTTTAAATGCTTATTACGGAACATTTGGGGAATGGAAAAATATAAAAAGATCATTCAGAATCCCATTGTTCAGGGATTAAATAAAACCTTTTTATAATTAGGAGGAATTGAAAACAACCTAAATATCCATCAACAGAGGATTTAACATTTTGGTGTACACAGTGAAATAATATGCAACATTAAAGAATGGCATAGGCTCATGTGTGCCATGGACTCATGCTGAAGATAAATGGTTTCTAAAAACTAAAGGGCTTCTAGCAAGAAAATAAAGACACTCCACTCTAAAACCCACCCACCCACCCCTAGAAAGAGAGAGTGAGAAAGAATACTAGTTAATATTTTTAAAATTCTTACCATGTGCCACAACATAGTTTTAAATGTTCCACATGCATTATCTCACTTCTTATAACAAAGCTAGGAGGTTGGAGATATTATCCCTTTGATGGGACTCAAACCGTTATCTGTTTGAATTCAAAGTCCATAGTTGTAACTACTTACCATATTACATTGCCTACTCTCAATATGGAGAAAAAACCAACTTGCAGAATAGTATATATAATGTGATCTCATTTTTGTAAAAATAAAGTTATTTTCTTTATGAATATGTATGCATATAGAAAAATCTGAAGAATATATGCCAAACCTAACTCTAGCAGTGGGATTATAGGACACTTCTTCCTGTTTTGTATGTTTCTATTTTGTTTTAGTTTTATTATTGGTTTTATAATTAGACAAAAATATTGAATTTTCAAAAGAAGGTTGGGAAGAAATTATAAGTACATTTTAATCCTAATAAACTGAGTTTTTAAACATAAATTTTTAAACAAAAAATTCTTCTCTTTAGTGTCTTTTGGGATGGTAAACCCACATATGTATTACTTAAACAAAGTTATGTCATCGCTATTTTTGGACACTTCGGTGGGTGGTGATGAGAGAACCAACTTTAAGTCTATTCGCAGCATAACTGATTTTTGGAAGGTAAGGCATCAGGTGACTGTGGATGAAGTAGCTTTAGGTATTGCGCAAGCAAACCCTTGGCACACATAGTAGGTGCTCGATGCATATTTGTTGAAGGAATGAGTAAAAATGAATATCATTTCTTCAAACTATTAGAATCAACCAAACAGTAACTGTTTATTGAGAATCTGTGTTCTGAGTGTGATAGGGTTCTTATAACTTTTTAAAAAATGACACTTTTTAACATTATCATTGCATGTGGAAAATAGGAGACTTGCTTCTTATGTGGGAGTTAAGTCTATAATTGTGTATAGTGAAAATTACTCTTAAAAGTTCCATAAATTGCCCATAAACTGAAATATATGTGATTTTGGTGTACAATCCTGTACTGTCTGTATGTGTGTTACAGTACTATACAGTATATAATAAAGAGTACATATACAAAATATAATTTTATAGTGTTTTTAATTACTAAGAGAATCATTCCTTCAGCATTGGAACAGATTGTTTTTTCCATTACCCTTAGCAAGATGCTCATATTATGAGGAAAGATCAGTTAAGGGAACAGCAATTTGAGGTATCCCATGTCACAAACATTGGGGTATGCAAGGAAGAGGAAGGGAAGGCTTTCCGGAGGTGATGACGATTCAGTTGAGTTTTAAAGGATGAATAATGGAAGCGCATTCTAGGAAGGATAAACAATATGTGCTATAAGTAATTCTACATATCAAGCTATGTTTGGCATTATAGGCATATGGAAGATGAGGTAGAAAAGGCCAAACTATGAATTGGACAGAGGTTAAATCATGAATGCCACGCTAGGAATTTGAAATTTATCAGGGAGACAAGGTCATTTCCTGAGAGTGAAAGGGGAAGTGAAGTATAAGATGAAGGCTAATAGAGGTCATTGGTTTAGGCCAGACGAAATGTGAAAGAGTGATACGAAATTTTCCCTGAAAGAAGAAGTGGAATTCACCCTGCTTCTTTTTTATTGTGCTGTCTTCAGGTATGTACATGGCCAATGGCAAAGAAGACAAAGGCAGGAAAGAAAAAAATGAACCCTGGGTTTGGGATCTCTTAGAAGAAGCAGATAGGGGCAGAGCCAGGAGTAGCAGTCACCTCCACCAGAGTTGTGGAGTAAGAGGGACACAGACAACTCTAAAGTGAAGTCATGATTTGTGGCATGATCTGTTCTGATACTCATGTATTGGGGGATGATTTTCAGTATACCCCTCATAAGGAGAAGGCTTATGCGATTAAATGAGTTAATACTTGTAAAGTGCTTAAAGCAGTACGTAGTGCATACTAAGTGCTCAGTGTTAACCATCTTCATTATCATCATCATCATCATCATCATCATTACCATTAATATTAATGCTGGCTTGGTCAGTAATTTAATTTTCATACTCATCCTCAAAATCACTGATTTTTATACTCTTATGGATAACATAATGACTGTAGATTCTGTTTTACAGTTGATAATGAAAATATTTTTCCCCATAACATTTATCTTTCTCTATGAAGTTTATGGAAGGACCCCTTTTGGAAGGTCTGTACTGGGACTCATGGTACAATAGCGAGAAGTTGTATGATTTAAAGAACAGCAGTCGCATCTACTATGAGAACATACTTTTAGGAGTCCCCAGAGTCCGTCAACTAAAAGTCCGCAATAACACATGCAAGGTCTATTCATCCTTTCAGTCTTTGATGAGTGAATGTTATGACAGATACACTTCTGGAAATGAAGACCTGTCTGAGTTTGGCCTTAAACAGGATACTGAGTAAGTAGTATAAAATTATACATAACTTTTTCTAGCAGCTTAAACAATTGTGAAAATGTGTATTTTCCAAATGATACCAGTAGGCATCTGGCTGGTAAGAAGACTGTTTAGATGATAGTATCAAAGAATACTCAGAGATGCAATGTTTAGAAAAGGAAGAGTGAAACTGTTATTTTTTTGTTTACCAAAGGCTGGAAAGTGTTTTCTTTTTTTCTGACTGTGGTATATGAAGTGCTAAGTCGTATTGCACACAAGGCAAAGTGTCCAGTTTTGCTTTTACAATACTCAGCTTTTCTGGCTCTGGCCAGACTCCCTCAAACCCATCCCAAATGTTCCTGGGGTTCCCTAAGGAGTGTCTTAGGTGTGCCCTGCTGCTTTCCTCCTTTCTCACTCTGCCTTAGAATCAGAAGATTCTGTTGTTGGCCATTACTAAAAAGGGGTAGTTAGTCTCCAGTGGCACTGCATCTGATGATGCCTCCCAAAGATATTATGGCTGCTGTTCTCCAAAGTGCCTGAGGCTCATGCCAGTGTAGACTCATGTCTACACTTTATATTCAAAATGCGAAAGCCCAAAGCCACTGACACTGCCTCCCCTTAACACAGAAGCTTCTGGTATAATTGCTTTTAGGGTCCTATGAAAATCATAGGGGACAGAAAATAAACCTGTTTTTAAAACTTAATGTTTTCAAAGTGATACAAATTTTTATAAAAGTCCACCCTTTCCTACTCATAATTCCCACTCCAGGAGCTGCCACTTTTAGCCCTTTTAGTCATTTCTTCTGGTATATACGTTCTATTTCTAAATAACATGTTTATAGTGCTATTACTTGATTTTACAGTTGTATATATCTATTTTCTCTGTCATGGAAGGTATCTGTCATGTATCCTTCTCCTACCACTCCCTCTACACACGCTCTTCCTGTTCCTCTTAGCCTGTAGTTAAACCATAGTTTTTGTTAATCATTAGTCAATGTTTATATTATAAATATGAACAATGATTACATTTCCTTTCTTGAACAACCTCCCTTGTATCCCCAGGATTAATCATTGCCTTGTGATTTTTGTTGACTAATTTTTCTTTGTATGAGTTTTTGAGTGTCCTTGAGGGCAACATAGTGCTCGTATAATTCTTACAAATCTAATAAATTGATAAGTATAGTGACATATTAAACATTACAGTATAGTCATGTGTTACATAGTGCCATTTTAGTTAACAATGGACCACATATACAATGGTGGTCTCATTAGATTATTATGGAGCTGAAAAATTTCTATCGCCTAGTGATGTCATAGCCATCATGGCACAACACATTACTCATGTGTTTGTGGTGATGCTGGTGTAAATAAACCTACTGCGCTGCCAGTTGTAGAAAAGCATAGCACATAAAATTATGTACAGTACATAATACTTGATAATAAACAACTGTTACTGGCTTATGTATTTACTATACTATACTTTTAATCATTATTTTAGAGTGTACCCTTTCTACTTATAAAAAAGAGTTTACTGTAAAACAGTATGTTGTGTTATGCCAGCAGCAGCCTTGCACCTCTCATGTTCACTGCCTCTCTTGATTGCATCATTTTCTCTTGTGCTTGATTTAATCTTGTGTTGTTTTGTTCATCATGGCCCCTAAGCATACAAAATGTACTGCTAATGTTGCCAGTAGGAGACCACATCAAGTGATTGACTTGGAAGTGAAATTAAAAGTGATTAAGGACTATGAAGGTGGAAAGTCAGTGATGCTTATTGCTCACCAGTCGGTCATGTCCCATTCCACTGTAGCTACAATCTTGAAGAACAAGAACAAAGTGACGGAAGCTGTTAAAGGGTCTGCTTCACTGAAGGCAATGAGACTAACAAAAATTTGAGAAGGGCCTATATCAGACTCGGAGAAACTTCTAATGATCTGGGTTGAAGAGCAGACACAGAAGCCTATCCCTCTTGGTGCCGTGATGATCAAAGCCAAAGCAAAAAGCTTGTTTGTGATGTCGAAAGAAGAGGCTGTACCCAACTACAATGTTGAATTTACCACTAGCTGTGGGTGGTTTAAATGATTCCAGAATTGTTATTCAACACATAACATGAAAGTGAGTGGTGAGCCTGTGAGTGCTGATGTGAAAGCAGCTGAAGGATTTTTGGAAACTCTAGATAAGCTGATTGTGGAGGAAAATTATTTGCCAGAGCAAATATTCAATATGGATGAAAACTCCCTATTCTGGAAATAGATGCCTGAGAGGACTTTCATGTATAAGGAGGCCAAGTCAATGCCAGATTTCAAGACTTTTAAGGACAGGATAACAGTCTTTCTTGGAGGGGCAATGTTGCAGGCTACAAATTGAAACTCTTTGTGATCTGGCACAATGGGAACCCCAGGACCTTCAAGCATATCAGTAAGCACACATTGCCAGCATACTACAGAGCAATAAGATGTCACGGACGACCCACCTCCTCTTCCAAGATGCCCTTCTGAATTTCTGTGCCAGCAAAATGGAGAAGTACTGTTTGGAAAATAACGTACCTGTCAAGATTTGCTTATTGTTGATGATACTCCCAGACATCCCCCTTTATTGGTGATCTTCATCCCAATATTGAAGCTGTATTTCTCCCTCCAAATACCACCTCTTTGATCCAACCAATAGATGAAGGAGTTATAGCAGCTTTTAAGGCCTACTACTTGAGGAGGACCTTTGCCCAGGCTATTGCTGGAACTGAGAAAGATACTGATGCAATTCTGGAAGGATTACAATATCTATGACTGCATCAAGAACCTTGCATGGGCTTGTGGTGATGACACCAAGGAGTGTATGAATGACCTCTGGAGGAACACCTTCAAGAGTTTTGTCTATGACTTCAAAGGATTTAGCAAGGATGAGGAGGTTTCAAAACTTAACAAGGCTTCAGTTGAGACAGCAAACAACTTTAACTTGGGTGTGAGTGAGAATAACATTGAAGAGCTCCTAGAGCTAGTTCCTGAGGAATTAACTAATAAGGAATTGTTGGAACTGGAACAGGAATGCAGAGCTGAAAAAGAGGCAAGAGAAAAGAAAACTGCAGAAAAAGAAGAAGAGCCCTTAACAAGGACTTCAATAAGCTCCTTAAAAAGTTTGAAAACATGGACCCCAACACCAAAAGGTTTTCATTAATAGGGAGGAATGTTCATGGTGCATTATCTGCTTACAAGCAAATCTATGATGAAAAAAAGAAAGAAGCCAAGCAAACCACCATGGACATATTTCTGAAAAGAGTGATACCTTCTCAAGAGTCTCAGGCAGGTCCTTCAGGAGGTATTCCAGAAGAAGCCATTGTTGTTATAGGAGATGACAGTTCCATATGTGTTATTGACCCTGAAGACTTTCCAGTGGGACAAGATGTGGAGGTGGAAGACAGTGATATTAATGATTTTGACCCTGTTTGTGCCTAGGCTAATGTGTGTGTTTGTGTCTTAGTCTTTCACAAAAAAGTTTAAAAAGTAAAAAAAATTGAAAATGTCAAAAACAGAAAAAAGCTTATAGACTAAGGATGTAAAGAAAGAAAATGTTTATGTACAATGTGTTTGTTTTAAGGTAAGTGTTATTATGAAAGAATTGAAAAGTTAAAAAAATTTAAAAGTTTATGAAGTAAAAAATTTACAGAGCTAAGCTTAGTTTATTGTTGAGGAAAGAAAAAATTTTTTATAAATGTAGCCTAAGTATACAGTGTTTATAAAGTCTACAGTAGTGTACGGAAATGTCTAGGGCTTCACATTCACTCCACTCACTCACTGACTGCCCCAGAGCAGCCTCCAGTCCTGCAAGCTCCATTCCTGGTAAGTGCCCTGTGCGGGTGTACCATTTTTTATCTTTTATACTGTATTTTTAGTGTACCTTTTCTATGTTTAGATATGTTTAGATATACAAATACTTACCATTGTGCTACAATCACCTGCAGTATTCAGTACAGTAACCTGCTGTCCAGGTTTGTAGCCTAAGAGCAATAGGCTACTCCATATAGCCCAGGTGTGTAGTAGGCTATAGGCTATTTAGGTATGTGTGAGTATTCTGTGATGTTCACATAATGACAAAATCACCTAATGACATGTTTCTCACAAGTATCCCCGTCTTTAAGTGACACATGGCTGTACTGTACACTATTTCTCTTTCAATGAAAAATTACAAGCTAAATCAATTATTTAATTACACATTTTAAATTGGAATCTCAAGACTAATCTGTTGGGCATTCTAATATTCCATATTCTCATAACAACTACAAATAATGTAAATACCAAAATTAACACTATGGATTTGGAATTGTAATACCTGTTACTCCCTAACAACTAATTTGTGCTTGTTTGTCTATCTAAAATGTAGCATTCATTAATTAAAAACATTATCAAAAATTGGAAGTAGGAGAGTGTTGGTGTAACATGTTCTTGTTTCAGTTTAACAATCATGCAGGAAACACTCAAAAGTACATCTAGGGAATTTTCATTAAATATGAGATTTTTTTCTTAGTGGTGTCACTTTTTCCCCCCTCTGCTGAAAACAAAACATAGTGTTATCAATAGAAAAATGAGTTTAAGAGTGCATCTTTGTATAATTGTTCAAATCTGTTTTGGAGAGATGGAATAGGGACTGAAATGATAAATCAAGGCTTTAGTTTTTGATATCCCATAATTTAAAAGGAGAATGGAAACAAAATTTAATTATATACATTTTACTTTCATTTATGTACTTTCATTAAAATAAGATACCTATATAACAGTATAGACATTGTAACAAAGGTTTTATTTATTGGGCATTTATGAAAGGTATATGACCTTTAGAAGACAAACTATGAACACCTTTTTTTCCTGTGTAGAGACAGGTATTTCTGATTCAAAACCCCTGATATTCTTGTCCTACTCAAAGACTAAATATCTCATGAGACAACAGAGACAATGTTAAAGAAAAAAATCAGTCATTACTTTCTAGATTTTAAGTTCCCTGAGGCGACAGATGGATTTTTTAAAGTTGTTTCTCATAGCATCTAGTCCAGTGTGTTGCCCACGATAAACACTAACAAATGAAAATGTGTTAAATCTTAATCCTTTTAATTTAATCTTTAACTCATTGTCTTGCTTCAAAATTACTATAATACTATGAACTTAGTACTACTTCTTTTTTGTACTTCTACTTTTGAACCAAAAATTAGCTTAAATTCTTAGACTACTTCTCAGTCAGGCTTTCTCATATCTCCATTATTCTTTTTATATCCATCAGATGGACATACTCTGCTCCTCGTACCAACTCCCCTTGGCACTGGGGATTTGTTGGTGTTTACCAAAACGGGGGATATATGTTCACTTTATCAAAATTGAAATCTGAAACCAAAACCAAGTTCATTAACCTTCGACTGAACAGCTGGATCACAAGAGGGACTAGAGTTATTTTTATTGATTTTTCATTATACAATGCTAATGTAAATCTGTTTTGCATCATCAGGTGAGTGACTCAAAACCTCTTTATTAGTATATTGAATTTAAAAAGCATTCAGAGCCCTCATTAGGGTTTCCAGTTTGTGCATATTTGTATGAACATTAAAATCATAAGCTTCAATATAAATATAATGTAGTTCTGCCAATAACGAAAAAGAAAGTAAAGCAACATCATATTCAGTGTTTTGTTATTTCAGAATATATTCAAGAATATGAAGAATTACATACAATATGTTAGTTTTATGTTACTTAAGGATATATTGTTTGATTTCTTGTCATTCTGCAGTTGCACAGATCTAACATTTGTTTCGATGATTTCTTCCTCTAAATCAGATCATTCAAATCTGTCGATTTCCTTTCAGAATGAGCTTCTTTAAAGTTATTAATTTTAGTCTCAAGAATGAACAATTTAAATTTCAAACAAATATAACAGTAGCCAGCATCCTAGAAATGAATAGATTCTGTGGTGATTTGCAAAAATGGCCCCAATTCTTTACATCTTTGCCATGTAAACTTGCAGTGCCCTGCCGTCCAAGGAAGGGTGCACTGCCCCAGCCCTTGTGCTCAACCATGTGACTCGCTTTGGTCAATGAGATGTTAGCAGACATGATACAACCAGAAGCTTGAAATGGGTTTGGACATTAAAACTTGCTCTCTTGCACTCTGCCATTGCATAAGAAGGATGTGCCTGGGCTAACTTGTTGGACCCAGGAGGAGGATGAAAAACCACCTCTCCTGAGGTAGAGGAGGAGAGAGAATCAACCAAAGAAAAAAAATTCTTCCCATTAGTCTGATTACCTTAGGTCATCTGCCTAACCTGGACCACATAATTGGCTTAGGCCTGGGTTCTAGAATCAAATACTGGCAAAGGAAATAGGATTACCATGATTAGATCTGTCTGGGGATTGAACAAGCATCCTCTAGTAATCTGAGAATGGGTGGATGCCTGATACACTTCTGCTAGAAGAAGGAATGGGATAATGACCTCTAGACAGGCAAACAATGTGTCCACTACAATTTCAGTGAGCCACTTTCCTCTCATGAGTCTTAGAGTTTTACTCTGAATGGAATGTGGAATTGGCATTTATTCTGATTAGGGGACTTTGCCTTGAGCAACAGTGACAGTGAAACATAACCATGGCCTTTAAAATTTGTAAAACTGAATAAATCAAATGAATTACCTTAAGTAGCCAATGGACATTATACTTTTATTTTATAGTTCTTTTCTTTCAGGAATCAGAGATTTTAACCAACATTATTCACTCTTCCCAATAGTCTTAATCAGGATAAAGTGAAGAATACAAATCATTTCTATGTCCTAAATAAGAGTAAAAATACTGGGGTAACTGGCTTAAAGTCATATGAAAGATGCCTTGTTATACTAGATTAAGTTCAGATTTCTTGTCTCTAGGTTTTATGCTTATTCTCTGTTACCTTTTAAAATGTTATTGTTTAGAAACGTAGCAGATTTTGAGACTGTTAACTGGTTGTGTATCTAATCAGTAGTTGTATGGAAGCATATTGTTTCCGCTAAGACCGTATCCTGGTGGTCTAGTGGTTAAGAGTTGGCAATCTCACTGCCGCAGCCCAGTTAGTTTCCCCGTCAGGGAACCACATCACCCATCTGTTGGTTGTCTTACTGTGGTGGCTGCTGTTGCTGTGATACTGAAAGCTGTGCCACCAGTATTTCAAATACCAACAGGGTCACCCATGGTGGACAGGTTTGAGCAGAGCTTCCAGACTAGACAGACTAGGAAGAAGGACCTGGCCACCCACTTCATAAACACAGCCATGATAAACCCTATGAATAGCAGTCGTGTATTTTCTGATAAAATTACAGGTGAGAAAATGTTGCAAAAATACCAGGCAGGTTCCACTCTGCTGTACACAGAGTCTCTAGGAGTCAGAATCGACTCCACAGCACTAACAACAGAAGAACTTATCCACCTATTTTCCTTTTTGTACATGTATCTGGCAAACTAAACTGAATGCTGTTCTTTTTCTCCCTTTTTATTAGTCTACACTTCAAATCAAAATATTGAGTTTCTTTCACTTCACTCACTTCTCCAACATTGCATACCTACTATGTGCAAGGTGAAACAAATAGTTCTGTTTTCTGTTTGTTACTTGGTTGTTTTGGTTTTGTTTTTTTGGCAGCACCTTATTCCAGTACCAGTAAGATTTGCTAATATCTTTAGGTAAGAATAATTACATTGTGACATTGTGCTAGAGATGCTGGTTCCTTAAATTATTGCCAATTCTTTTTTTTTTAATTATTGAGGCCACATTGGTTTATAACATTATATAAATTTCAGGTGTGCATCATTGTATTTTGACTTCTGTATAGACTGCATTGTGTTCACCACCAAAGTCTAGTTGCCATCACTGTACATGTGCCCCTTTACTCCTCTTGCCCTCCTCTTGCCCTCTTGCCTTCTGGTAACCACCAATCTGTTCTCCATATGGATGTGGTTCTTTGTTTATCTTCTACATATGAATGAAGCCACATGGTAAATATCTTTCTCTGTCTGACTTTGTTCACTTAGCATAATACCCTCAAGGTCCATCCATGGTGTTGCAAATGGCAGGATTTTGTCTTTTTTTAATGCCTTTTCTTTATGGCTGTATTCCATTATATGTATAAACCACATCTTCTTTATCCATTCATCCATTGATGGGCACTTAGATTGCTTCCAAGTCTTGGCTATTGTAAATAATGCTGCAATGAACATAGGGATGCAAATATCTTTTTAAATTAGTGTTTTTGTGTTCTTTGGATAAATACCCAGAAGTGGAATAGCTGGATCATATGGTAGTTCTATTCTTAATTTTTTGAGGAATCTCCATACTGTTTTCCTTAGTGGTTGCACCAATTTACATTCCCACCAGCAGTGTACAAGTGTTCCTTTTTCTCCATATCCTCTCTAACACTTGTCATTTCTTATCTTTTTAATAATAGCCATTCTGATGGGTGTAAGGTCATATGTTATTATGGTTTTGATTTGCATTTCCCTAATAATTTGTGATGTTGAACATCTTTTCATGTGCCTCTTGGCCATCAGTATATCTTCTTTGGAAAAATGTCCATTCAGATCCTCTGCCCATTTTTTGATTGGGTTATTTGGTTTTTGGTTGTTGAGTTGTATGAGTAAGTTACTACCAATCTTAATTATCTGAAGTTGTGGAGAACACTGGAAATACAGTGAACAACTTCAAAATCTTTTTATATTTAGTGTTGGAATTAATTTCTACATTTCTATTTGCATATAGATCTTTGTATCCAACATCCAGTGCCTAAAGTAAACAGAAAAGATTTGCTTTGGTAGAATATGTGACTTGACATTTAAAAGCAAGAAGTGTCTCTAATAAGCTAAAGAGGGAAACCATATTTCCCTCCTCTGAAATATTCAAGAATTATATATTTTGGGGGGAGTCCTGACTAATAATAGTAACTAACAGTATAGCATTTTCTTGAACATCATCTCATTCTCTGTGGAGATAAATTAGTATGTCCAGTTATGAACGAGCAATCTAAATACAGACTAGAACAAATGTCTGCCTAAAATCACATCTTACTTTATCATATACATAAGTCTTTGACCACTGTGAATATTCAGAGTACAAAAAAAGTGAAGAAGCCATTAAAAAATAAGTAAATCCACTAGAAACTTTTAAAATTGAACCCACGATCCCAAGAAAACATATTTTGTACAAAATAACTGATTATCATTAAAGTACACACCATCACTGATTAGAAATTTCACATTGAATTAGATACTGAAATGTAAATGCTTGAAATGCATAGTTACTTTCACAAACCTTATTTTACAGATTGGTGGCAGAATTCCCTGCAACTGGAGGCATACTTACTTCATGGCAGTTTTACTCTGTGAAGCTCCTCAGATATGTTAGCTACTATGATTATTTTATTGCTTCCTGTGAAATCACATTTTGTATTTTTCTTATTGTCTTCACAACACAAGAAATCAAAAATATAAGTGAATTTAAGTATGCCTATTTCAAAAGTATTTGGAACTGGCTAGAATTGCTACTTTTGGCAGTAAGTATATATATATTCACATGTATGGTTGAATGGAAACACATCTCAACCCACCGATGAGGGAGGTGTGAAAGCAGAATTTTCTATTCATCTGGGACTTACTTTAATAGCTGCAAGTATCAGTCATAAAATGAACTGTCATAGTAAATATTAATGATATACCTCCAAAAGGAACAAGTTTTTTTTCTGATTTGGTCCTTGGGAGAATCAGCAGCATAAACCTAGAGGAATAGGTGATTCCATAGGTATTATGATTTAATGTACACAGTAAGTAGGTCTCCCTGCCCCCACTCAAAAATGCGTTCCTTACAGAGCCTCATGTTAAAACTCATGGATCTTTTTGGGCAAGGTCCTTTAAAATGTACTCTTATATGTTGCCTAAATCTGCTTTCCTTCTCACTCTGAGTTTTGAAAGGATAGGCAAAAGACAAGCTTAGGCAGGATACTGAAGGGAGAGGAGGTTCGAACAGCCAGAAGGTAGCTTGTGGGCACAGAGGACACCAGGATTGGGGAGATAGTCCCTGAAAGAAACTCCAAAGACTGCCAGTTTTGGTCACTGGAACATACTGAAATAAACAGAGATGTAGGCAGGGCAGGACAAATGGTAAGAGCTTGGTTTTAGGAATGATGAACAAACATTTCTGGCTCATACAATCTGATCTTTCACCCTTATTGGCCCTTAGTTACAGCCAATCCAGTATATAAGCTGTGTTTCCCAAAACCAGATTGAAAATTTCTCAGAGTCAGAAAGTGTGCCATCTACCTCTCTGGTTTCCCCAATGATGTTTAACAGAGCATTTAAGTGTTTAACTATTGAGTATTCAGGCAAGGGAAATCACAGGAAAATTTTCTTGACAGTTACAAAGCTCTGATACCTAAGATAATCTGGTTCTGAAATTCTTTTCTAAAAGAGTTGTTAAAGGGATCTAAAAGGGTTTATTTTTTGGAACTGTAAAGTTTTTTTTCTTATAGTGTTACGTGGTGGAAAATATTAAACTTTTAGGCATACATGGAGCAGAAACCCTTATGGCCTAGTCAGAATTATATAATCATTGTATACATTTGTGCTTTATGACTCAAAGAAACAAGCAAGCAGGTAGATTAGGATGACCAGGCGATCAATATTTTTCTACTTTTATGATAATTATACTACCTTAAACTTCTGTAAGTTGAGGCTTACTTCCATTTATGTAAAAGCCTATGTCTTATCTCTCCTTCCCTTTTTGTTGAACTTTTGGTGAACTTTTTCATGTGTTTCTTCATAGGCTGCAGGAGATTTAGAGAAATAATCTCTAATTTAATCCTTCTTACTTTCCCATTTAGTTGTGTTTTGTGGCTGTTTTCCTCAACTCATACTGTATTATACAAGTTTTTCTCTTACTTGGAAAGCTGTTAAAAAATACTGAAGAATATTCAGACTTCTATTTTCTTGCATACTGGCACATTTATTACAACAATATAATTGCTATTACTATCTTCTTTGCATGGATAAAGGTATTTATATTTTATTATACTAGATAAACAGACTAGATATAATATTTTATTATATTACGTACCAAAGTGGGAACTTAAACTACAAAGTCATGAAAAAACAAAAGGATATTCTTAACTGTAAAGTAATATTAAAGGTAGTTTGTCCTTGTAACGATTGCTGGTGAATCCCCAAACACCCCTGACTACCGTTAAGCACTTCCTTTAATTTAAAGTAGATTTTTCTGAAATTAACTTAACTTACTCTAAGTAATTGTAATCTATAATATTCTCCTGTTTCAATTAACTTTGTTCTCTTGCAGATATTCAAATTCATAAGCTTTAATAAGACGATGTCTCAGCTGTCATCAACCTTGTCTCGCTGTATCAAAGACATAGTAGGATTTGCCATCATGTTTTTTATAATATTCTTTGCTTACGCCCAGTTAGGATTTCTTGTTTTTGGATCACAAGTTGATGACTTTTCCACTTTTCACAATTCCATGTAAGCTCTTAGGATAAAGATCATTATATTTTCCAGTTTATAACCCAAAAAATTATGGAAAGCCTATGATAAGTAGTAAGATGAGCTTTAATAAATTTAAACTTGGTTTGATATTTTCACTGATGGCTGTCACAGTCGAAGTACAGTTAGGCATTGAAAGATCCAAATGGGTGGTGATACCCATTTTTTAAGTTTACTAAGTCAAGTTAGAAAAATAAATAATTTTTCATTTTTCACTAGAAGTGAAAATTTTACCTAAGATAAAAGAAACTGGTTCCATGTCTCTGTACTATTTATTCTCTGGGCAAAAGAAATCTTATTGTTTTCCTTAGAGGGCTCTTTAGATTCCTTTTACTGATATTGACCTGGTTGTCCTTTGCTGATCTGGCAAACCTGTGTTTTAAAAATATTTTTATACCCATAAAACAGTCAGCAGGCAACAAACTTACAGAACTGATTAGGTAGAATCCCTAGGAAAGTATTTAGGCTTTACTTTAAAAGTGAATAATTTTAATAAGTTTACTCTCCTTTTTGGGTAAGAAGAGCAAGTTCTGTTTGTATAAGAAAATTATGAAGTCTAAAATATCAGTTCTCAAAATGTGTTCTGTGGAATTGAGACCAAGATTGTCTGGGGGGAAGTGGCTTCATATTTAAGTAAGTTTGGGAAATTTGCAACGCATAGTCATATATGGCTCTGAGAAAAACTGCAGTAACTTTCCTAATTTTAGTTTAGAATTCCCCAAACTTATTTCATGATACTTTGACTCAATTTGGAGGAAAGTCTGGTCTAAAGAAATGTCTTAGGTTGCCCTTTTTCACCATCCACATCTAAATAATTGAAGTACCAATTGTATGAAATTTAACATTTTTCTGAAATAACTCTACTAAATCAGTAGTGGAAAGAAGAGTGGTAGGAACCAGGAGGACATAATTCTACTTTCCTATTCTGCCACTAGCTGTTTAGCTTTTCTAGACCTTAATTTCTTTATCTGTAAATGAAGAGACTGGATCCAGTCACTCCCAAAGGTCCTTTCCAACTTTAAACGACCTATATTTTGAGAAGCCTAATCAGCTTATCCTGAGTGAATAAATGTTTGCAGTCCCAACAACTTCTTGGTCCTTTCCTAGGACCTTAATTCAAGTGTTTCTTAATAATGAAATTTAGTAGTCTTAGGGGCCGGCCCAGTGGCGCAGCAGTTAAGTTCGCATGTTCCACTTCTCAGCAGCCCAGGGTTTGCCAGTTTGGATCTTGGGTGTGGGCATGGCACCGCTTGGCAAGCCATGCTGTGGTAGCCATCCCACATATAAAGTAGAGGAAGATGGGCATGGATGTTAGCTCAGGGCCAGTCTTCCTCAGCAAAAAAAGAGGAGGACTGGCAGTAGTTAGCTCAGGGCTAACCTTCCTCAAAAAAGAAGAAATTTAGTAGTCTTAGACATTGAATATAAGTGTAATAATTTACAGAACCTTGGAATAACCTTGAATAGTGGGAGGAAAGGACATAGAAGGCACAGAATAAGCAGGTAGAAAACTTTGCAATGGATGAATGAGGGGATTTGTGCTTTTGGTAATGATGTGCTATGTTATTTGAACCAACCTCCTCTTCAAGACAATTTAAAAAGCTAGTTGAAATGTAAGAAACATTGAAGAACTAACAAAAAAGTGAGTAATGCCTGGGCCAAAATCAGAAGGCAAGAACCCAGAGAAGTAAGTCCAAGCACCCAAACCTAGTTTTGCACTGAAGGCTTTTTTCTTTTTGTTTTAGGTTGGTAAGGAATTTTTTTATGGTGGTAAAATACACATAACATAAAATTTACCATCTTAACCATTTTCTAAGTGTACAGTTCAGTGATATTAAGTACTTTCCTGTTATGCAACCATCACCACCATCCATCTCCAGAACTCTTTTTATCTTGCAAAACTGAAACTCTGTACCCATTAAATAAGAACTCTCTATTTCCCCCCTTACCCCAGCCCCTGGCAACCACCGTCTGCTTTTTGTCTCTATGATTTTGATTACTCTAGGTACCTAGGAGAATCATACAGTATCTTTTTGTGACTGATTTATTCCACTTGCATAATGTCTTCAAGATTCAACAATGTGGTAGAATATGTCAGAATTTTCTTCTTTTTTGAGGCTGAATAATATTCCATTGTGTGTATATACCACATTTTCTTTATCCATTCATCTGTCAGTGGGCACTTGGGTTGCTTCCACATTTTAGCTATTGTGAATAATGCTGCTGTGAGAACATGGGTGTACAAATATCTCCTTGAGATCTTGCTTTCAATTCTTTTGCATAGAATTACTCGATCATATGGGAATTCTATTTTGAATTTTTTGAGGAACTGCCATACTGTTTTCCACAGTAGCTGTACCATTCTACATTCCCATCAGCAGTGTTCAAGGGTTTCAGTTTCTTTACATCCTCATCAACACTTTTTCTGGGCTTTTTTTTTTTATAGTAGCTATCCTAATGGGTGTGAGGTGCTATCTGATTGTGGTTTTGATTTGCATTTCACTAATGATTAGTGATATTGAGTATCTTTTCATGTGCTTATGCATGGTTGTCCCCTTGATGGTGTCCCACAGGTCCCTTAGACTCTGTTCACTTTTCTTCAATCATTTTTCTGTTCCTTGTCCTATTTTCAAGTTTGCTGATTTTTTCTTCTGCCTGTTCAGATCTTCCTTTGAATCCCTCTAGTGAATTTTCATTTTAGTTATTGTACTTTTTAGCTCTAGAATTTCTTTTTAGGTTTTCTATCTCTTTAGTGATATTTCAATTTTGTTCATACATTGTTTTCTTGACTTTCTCCATGCCTTCTTTTAGTTCTTTTAGCATCTTTAAGATGGTTGTTTTAAAGTCTTTGTCTTGCAGGTCTGCCACCTGATCTTTCTTGGGGATAGTCTCTATTGGTTTTTTTTTTTCCTTTGAATGGCCGTACTTCCCTGTTTCTTTGTATGTCTTGTCATTTTTTTGTGGAAAAGTGGACATTTAAATGTAATGATGTGATAATTGTGGAAATTAGATTCTTTCCCTTCTCCAGGGTTTGCTGTTTTTTGTTTTTGATTGTTATAGACTGTCTCCAAGCTGACGATCAGCCTGAGGTGTAAACTTACGGTCTTCTCAGGTCTTTTCTCAGCCTGTGCCTTCTTTGGGTATGTATGGTGACTTTCTAATTTCCTCCATTTATGCAGTTGCTTTTGAATGTCCTGGTCTTTAATGTCTGGCTCCCAAAAGGAGAATAAAAGAAAAATGAAGGAAGAGGAAAGGGCACTGACACTTTAAATTCCAAGGACGTTGCTTCAGCCAGAGGGGAAGGGGCTTGCAGCAAAGGCTGGGGAGCCACACACAGGCCTCTGTGAGCAGAAGCAGCAGTCAGCAATCAAAACACAGACCACTGATGTTTAGAGAACAGGGTCCTTATTGCCTACCCTTGCTCCCACAAGCTGTGTGCAGGCTGCTCCAAGTATACCTGCACAGCTGCCTGCCATAGGCTTGGGGATGAGAGATGGATAGCTGCTGCCAAACTAAAAGCTAAATTGACCAAAATTGTCCAAGCCTGTCCCTGGAAGTTGCAAGCCTTCAATAGGCTCCAGAGTTCCAAAATAGTTACATGAGAGAGATTCTACCAGTGTGATTGTTGTCTAGGTGGGAAGAAAGATTCCTAGTATCTACTATCCCCCCCACATCCTCCACCCTGAAGGTGTTTTTGTTCATCCAGAAGAAAAAGTTAAGAAAATGTGTTTCTGGCCACCTCTCAGGGAGAGGCAAAGCCCAGGGCCTGCATATGTGTGTGTGTGAGGGGTGGGGGGAGAGGAAGATTGTCTGATAACCTCTCCACACACCAAGCGGGGAGACTGAAGTGCTACAGCCTCAAGTTAAAAGTGATTCCCTCATTGTGACTTGAAGCGTGAGTGTCCAAGGAATCTCATTTCTTGGACTTGAATTAAGATGGTCCCAGGCTAGAATACTTGTATTCATCTGCAGACACAAACAAACAAAATACTCTCTGGAGAAGATAACTTCATCCTAAGCCTCAAATTACTTCTACAAGTAATTTTTAAAGTATAATTTAATTTAATAATAATTTAATAATTGCTTACAGTCAAAGATAACCTGATCCGTAAGGGAAAAAAATCGTAAGCCATAACCAGCAGATACAGCAGACAACAGAAACAGACTCAAAGACTTCAGATATTGAAATAAGCAATATATACTATATTTAGAGAAATAAAACAGGTCAGAAAATATCTTCAGAGAACAGGATAGTGACATATTTGAAAAAGTATCAAATAGAATTCTAGAACTGAAAATTATAGCAACTGAGATTAAAAACCCAGTTGACAGGTTTGACAGCAAATAAGACAGAGATGAAGAGAGAATGATAAAGTGAAAAATAGGTAGGAAAACATTATCGAAAATGTGGCATAGAGAGACAAAAGGTGGGGAGAGGGTGTTAGACATAAAAGATAGAATGAGAAGGCCTAACAGATGTTTAACCGGAGTTACAGAAGAAGACAGAGTGGAATAGAGGTAATATTTGGAGAATGCTTAGGAATAGATACCACCAAATCATGACTCCTAGTGAGAGACTGGGAAGTCTTAGTAACCACAAATGGTACATTATTATGAAACAGTCTGTTAGCTATTTTATTCAATAAAAGAGAACTCTAGAAATCTAGCAGGGGTATCAAGAAGTTACAAAACTATTTTCACTCAATATAACCCTGTATGCTGAGGAGTCATGGTGTTCCTTTTAGCTTTAAAAAAAAAAAAAAACGGATAAACTAAGCTCCAGTTAAGAGGAGAAGTGACAGTTACATTGTATTTTGAGTCTCCAGTGCCTATGTGGTGACAACCATTCAGTAAATTGCTCAGGTGTTTATTACTCACATTATTATTTACAGAGCAGAAGTATTTGAACATTTTCCTGATATGGAAAGGAGTGAATGGAAGACTTAGTTAATAAGCTAATTTCTGGAGAGGAGAAATGGTGCCTTTAACTTAGCTTTTCTTGTATAAACACAACTCAGGGATAAAAGATCAAGTTAGAAACACTAAAATAAAACCTCTTATTCTCCTATGCCAGAGAGGAAACAACATTTGATGTGTTGAAAACCTTTAGCGTCCTTCCAATTCAGCATTTCTCTATCTTGTGTAGAAGAGCATTACAAACCAGTATTACAAGTTGAATAAATACTCTAAGTATGATTTACTCAGGTCTTAGTTAGATACTGGGGATGACATTCCAGATAACTCAACAGTCTTAGGACTCCCAATAGACAATTTCTTTGAATTCATCTTTTTCCTTCACTGTAGATAGCCCTATGGTCCCTTTACGTGATTGGCGAAATCAATAAGGAATAAAAAGTGTTCTCCCTTTTGAATAACCAACCAATCATGAAAAGTATCTACATATTATTAAAAATTCCTTCCCAGGTTTCCCCTTAAAATAAAGAACTCATGTACATAACTTATATCCCTGGTGTGTCTGGCAATGCCATTGTAAATTCATGATGAGAAAATAAGACTTCAGGTTAAGAAATCCTAATTCTATCTCTGCTACTACTACGCTCATTCAAAGCCTTAATTTCTTAATGTTCCATCTTTAAAATTAATAAAATGAAGACGTATATTTTAAATGCTATTTCACATCAAAACCAAGCTTTTATATAGTTATTCAAGAGAATAAAATAAACCTCAGAATCATGTTTGAGGATCATTAGTAGCACTTGTTTGAGACTTAGCAAGTGACAAATTGTTGGCATCCTTATTTTAGCAGAAGAGGTGAAAAAAATTAAACATAGCATTGATGTTAGAAATGCTAGGGCTCTTGAGTCTAAGTACAACTTCAAAATCACTAACTGAACAAGGTCAAAGTATTCTAAGTTTTAGAAGGGCACAGGAATGGCTAAGGAGGCCACTGCCAAGACCAGGTGGTAAGCAGGTACCTCAAGGTTCAAGGCTTGTAGGTGATCATTGGGTTCAAACTGGTTAAATGAAATGAAGCCCATAATTTCCTGAACTACCTGTTCAGCTATTGAGGTACCTCACGTCTTGCCTTTTAGGGGAATTTTCTACATACAGTTTTATAGAACTCTGTGCTAACATAACTAAAGCCAGAGAACATATGCCATATGAAGCTAGATGCTTTCCTAGACACACTGGTAACCCCCATCAGTTGTCAGGTATGTATAAAGGGATATAATATTTTCTAATGTTTTTCTTCCCATCAAAGATTTGCACAATTTCGAATTGTTCTTGGAGATTTTAATTTTGCTGGAATTCAGCAAGCCAATCGTATCTTGGGACCCATTTACTTCATCACTTTCATCTTTTTCGTGTTTTTTGTCCTGCTGGTAAGAATGAACATATATGTCCCCTTTTTTGCATAAATTTTTTAGAATAGAAAAATGAAATTGCTAATTTAGAGGAAATTATAGTATCACTGCTTAGCTGTCAGAACACCTTACATTTATTAAGAATGGTGTGGATTCCTAGTAATCTAGGTTCTCTAGTACAGTGTCTAAATGTTTTCAAGTTGTGCAATTGATCACAATAGTTACCAAATGGGTGTTTATTGTGTGCCAAGAATGTGCTAAATCTTTTACACATATAACTTCAATGTCCCAGGTCTCTCCAGCCTGGGACATTCCATAACAGTAGGTATGAATTAGGCCATGAATGAATATTCTGCCCATATTGCAATGGCTTTTGGCCCTTACAGTTGAAATCTCACATCTTTGTGATTTTCAGGAGTCCCCAGAATGGGTCTCTCACATGTGCTCAGGACAAATCTACTTGGCCTTCCTAATCAAAGAACCTTGCCTTCCTAGTCAAGGCACTGCTACTGTCCTCCATGAAAACATTTTTTTGTCATGCACATTAGTTATCCCCTGGTGGTGGCCCAGAGTCTTCAGGGTGACAGAGCTACGCCACAGTGAAAAATGGAGATGGGGGTTGGGGGTAAGAATACCCTCTCCACAATTCTGTTTGTGTTATCTGGACATTAGTAGTCATAAGAGCTGTGGTAAGACTGTGCATTTAAACAGCTTTATAGAATTTTTTTAAAAACACTGCCCCTGTGAACATATAATTACCTTACTCAAGTTTTTTTCTGATATGTAATATTGATAAATTAGTGTGTATATATATATTAGTAACCAGTTCACATGTACATATTTTACCTTCTGCTTTTCTCATTTACCATAAATATCTATGTCCATATCCACACACTGCACTTTTCCTATTCTACTGTATTATAGTCTGCAAAGCCATTTCTCAATTATTGAGCATATGAGTTAATTTTAAAATTTAAATCTAACTTTACAAATCCCAGCACTTGTCAAAATCACTAACATTTAAACTAAATTTTTATTGAAATAATTATTTGAATATTTCTCCTCAGAACATGTTCTTGGCAATAATTAACGATACCTATTCTGAAGTGAAAGCTGATTATTCAATAGGCAGAAGGCCAGACTTTGAGCTTGGTAAAATGATTAAAGAGGTATGTCAAATTATTTTCCTAATTAGAATTCTAAGACAAATCTTGTTCAGTTTTATACTGTTATAGTTTGAATAACACTTAAACCCCAAGTAGTAGTGGGTTTTGAGGGTTTGTTTTTTTGGCAGGGGGGAGTAGACACTCATATTTGTATCATTTCACTACCAGGCAGTGAAATATGCTCTCTGGCTTTAAAAGTGTGGCCAAAATTATTTCAGAGTTCAATATATCAAATAGTAATTGAGCTATTTACTAAATGCAAAGCATTGTGGGGTATTACAATAAAACACTGTCTTCCCTCCAAAAGTTTTCAATTTAGATGCTGGTAAATTTCTAGTTTAAACTCAACTCCATGAGCCTTATCTTCCTCACTTTCCTGTTTCTGTTAATGGTAACACTCTTTTCAGTCACGTACCCCTGGCTCAAAAACCTTGGACTTTTTATTCCTTTGTCCCTTACATGGTCTGTTGCCAAGGCTTGTGTGTAAAGTTCATCTCTGTAGTTTTGCTCATGTTTGTGGAACTCAAGGACACTTTCAATTCTAACTGCCATCACTAGATTAGGGCCCTGAGTACTTTTCACCCCGCCTTCTTATGGTGACATCTTCTTAACTGTTCTAGCCTCTTTCCTGTGCCAGCCCAGCTCTGATCATATCACTTCTCTGCTCAAAATTCTTCAGTTTCCCTGGGTATGTCAGAATAAGTCCAAATTCTTTACTCAAACATTCAAGGCCCTTCTCAAGTCTCACAGTCTCGACCTATCTTTATTCACTATCATTTGACTATAGAATTTCTACCTTCTCTGCTTCCATTTGTAGCACTGTATGTCCCAGCTAAGGTTTTGAGCACAGTGCTGTTTGCTACGCTTGCTCTCACTCTCTCCTCTGGGCCTCTACTCATGTCATCCCCTGACTCCAGGAATATTCCCTCCACTCTCTCACTGGCATTCTGTTCTCCCTGACAGAGTGGAATCTTCCCTGTCCTCTCAACACCTCCCCTCACTTTGAGTGTAGCAGAGTTGTGTGTACCGTCTTGCCCATCTCTGCACACCCACGGCTCTAACCATAGAAATGTTCTCATAGCTGTGGGGTTAGTAGGGTTTAAGAACTCTATCCAAGAACTTACCTGTGAAAGAAAACTATTAATATGTCCTCCATTGAGCTTAATTGTGGGTTTTTTCATCTTTTATCTCTTCATTATGATGTTGGTTATTTGCATTAAATTTTTAACATCCTTAATGCAATAAGTATTAATAATACTCTTTAAAGATTTTTTTTTCAAGTTCAGGTGTGATGTCCACAAGAGAACCCCTTTTTCTTTTTCATCAGCAGGAAGAAACCATAAGTGGTAACAAAGTGAAAGAAGGATAATCATAGCATTTGTCTCCAGATTTCTATAGGGTAGCAGTCCCTAGAGACAAGCATTCCATACTCCCTTTATCTTGATAAAAAATTAACAATAGGGGATACATTTTTTGGTGAACTTTTAACTATTTTTAATTATGTCCAGAGTTACCACAATGTTCTTGAAAAACTCAATCTAAGGAAACCTCAAAAGGATGAAGACAAGAAAAAGTAAGATGACTTTTCTTAAATTTTTAACTTACCATTTTAAAGCTCTAAATTATGAGGAACTTACAATGAGACTAAGGTTCTGATTGCAAAACAATCACCATCAAATGTGCTGATTCCAAATATGTTGTCAATACATCCAGATAGTGCCTTCTAATTTCTAAGAGTGTCATGAAACGCTAAGCTAATTTAAAATTAACGTAAGCATGCCATGCCACTCAGACAAAGCTTTAACAGAATATTGGAGGGGAGAATAAAGTTCCTCTAAAAAGGTAGGAAACAATTTTAGTCTACATTAAGTGCATTTATTTAGCTATCAAAATAAAAACATTTTTACACAAAATATTTAAGGATACACTTGTATTTATTGAATCATTTTGGTGTCAAGATGCTTCCCAAACCCAAACTTCTGGCAGTGGGACACAACAAAAACATTTTTTTCTAGCTAGAGATGTGATACTCTGGAGAACTTATGAATGACCACATTTTCCAAATAATTAGTGTTGTCAAAAAGAACAAATGCAATTCAGATCCTTACTATAGATCTGATTGTATTTTATGCTGGCATTTCCCTATTAACTGTCACATGCCTCTGATTTTTTATATTCTCAGTATGAAAAGTGGAGATTTGGCTGAACAAGCCAGAAGAGAAGGCTTTGACGAAAATGTAAGATTTTAATTTTCTCATAAAGAAATGATAGCATTATCAGAAATATGCTTACAAAAAAGCTCTGATTAAAGATTGAGGGGCTGTCCCAGTGGCATAGTGGTTAGGTTTGCGCGCTTCGGCTACCTGGGGTTCACAGAATTAGATCCCAGGTACAGACCTGCACATGCTAATTGGGCCGTGCTGTGGCAGCCTCTCACGTGCAAAACAGAGGAAGATTGGCACAGATGGTAGCTCAGCAACAGTCTTCTGGCAACAGGAGGAGGATTGGCAACAGATGTTAGCTCAGGGCCAATCTTCCTCACCAAATAAACAAACAAATACAGTCTGTCTCACCACTTTAACTGGTGTCTGGCTTTGTTTAAAAAAAGAAAAGAATTGAAATGATATGCTTTTTTCAGAGCAGGAGTTGCTACCTCCAAATAATTTCTCCCAGAATCTAGATCCTTTCCTGTTTAGGACAAATCATTTGGATTCCAGATGCTCTCTTATTGGTGCTCTCAGCCAGATAGCCTGGTCCTACAGCTGTACACTCGTTGTGGGATCATCACACAGATTTAGTGAGTATACTCAATTGAGATGATTATATAATTTTTCTCTTGTAATCAATGTGATGAATCACTTTAATGACTTTTTTATATTTCAAAATTGTAACATATACATTCAACAAATCACTAAACATATATTTAAGAAATAATGAGCAAACCCTCACATACCATTACCACCCAAGTGAAAAAAATAGAACACTGCTCTACTTCTGATTGCCCAGCCCCCTGAATATGCTCAGAAAGAGGACAGCAGTGTCGAGAGATTAGAATAAGCAAGGAAGTACATATGTTGGAGTGAGGTTTCTCATTGTCAGATAAGGGAGTTACAAAAATGGAAAGGTTGAAGGTTAAAAACAAACTTGCAGTCTTGGATTAGAATTGCAGATGTGTGTATGTGTGTATTTTCTAGCTCTGTCCACTAAGAAAGCTAGAAGGAATGACATCCTAGTAGCAATGACACAACTAGTGCCCAGATCTTGGATTCCAAATACCATTCTCCTCTAAAAGGAACCAAAGCTACTTGGAGATAAGGCTAATTCCAGGGCTGAAAAGTACAAGATGAGTCTGGAATATCTTGTTGAGCTAGAAAGTAAAAGTGCTCAAAGAATGTGGAGATCTATTAAAAAGAGACAAGAGTCAGCTTGAAGGGACTCCCACTGGCCAAATCTGGGAATATTTAAGTACTATAAAGAAGAATGATTTCTAATTCTAATTCATTGAATAAAATAAAATTCCATGAGTCCATAGTGATCTAAACATATACAAGAATTGAAGTCTGAGGAAGAATGGGACACTTGTATACCTCTCCACAAAATACATATTAATTACAAAAAGAAAGGGAGTAATGTCAGGGTGGAGAAGTCTGGCAGATGTCACCTTAATCAGTACTGGAACAAGTTGAAATCATACACACCTCATAGGATGCTAAGAGAACACAGCATCTCTTCTCTAACATTCCTGCTGAAGATGTATAACCTGATGAAACATCATACAAAGCTAAACTTAGGGACATTCTACAAAATAACTGGCCTGTATTCTTTCAAAAGTGTCAAAGTCATGAAAGTCAAGGTAAAGCTGAGGAACTATGCAAGACTGAATGAGATTAAAAGGCAAGTAAATACAACGCATAATCCTGGATCCTTTTACTACAAAAGGCATCATTGGAACAACTGGTAAATTTGAATGGGGAACTGAGGATTAGATGGTCATAATCTATCAATATTAATTTTAAGATTTTGATGGTTGTACTGTGATTATAAAGGAGAACGTCCTTGTATGCAGGAAATACACACTGAAGTATTTAGGAACAATGGGGCATTCATGTTGACAACTCTGAATACTTCAGAGGAAAAAAGTATTTGTATTGTTCTTGTAACTTATCCATAAGTTTGAGATTCTTTTAAAAAAACAAAACTATAATTCAATAAAGCATTTATGAAATAAAAGATGCTGTAAATTGAAAGACATATTATGTATCTGGGAAAAGTACCTAGAATGAACATGAGACTTATCCAAGTAAAATTTGGATTTTATTGACTTACAAGGAAAAGAAAATCACTTTAGCATGACAACATTCAACACCACAAATCAACAGAACACCTAAAATATATTCAAGGAAAGAAAATGTAAGCCAAGGATTTTTATTTCTACCAAAGCTGTGATTCAAGTATAAAGGCTCAAACAGTTTTGATCATGTAAGAACATGGAGAATACTGTTGTATTCCTGAGGATTCTACAAGAAGATCAGCTTCAGCCGACCAAGAGATGATTGGAGAAATTTTGGAAAAAAGAAGGGGGAGAGAAGGTATAAAGTAGAAAAAGCTGACCTATTTGTTCACATGTAATAGCTAATAGTTAAAGAATTATCATTTAGAGTTAATAATCAAGAAGAAACTATACCATATTTAAGAGTACAATATTAAAAAGATATTGTTTTATTGATTTTAAAACACTTTTTTCACATTTTTAACATCTCTAAAATCAAGTTCTCCCTTATGGTTGATTGATAGTGTATCATACTTTAACTGGCAGCATTTTTTCCCCAAATGGTACATAAAATAATGGGGTATTTTACAACAAACTCCATCTCTCAGATACAATGAGATATGTTAATACAATTAAATATTATTGGGTAGTAGAGGGGAAGGAGCTAAGGAGGAAGAAATTACAAGCTAATTTTCTTGTTCAACTTGCTTGGTTCCTTGTTGAGGAAACTAAAGCAAGAAAGGGAGGACTCAGGGTGTATAAAAAGATACATGAATAAATACAAACCAGTAAAGCGAAAATGCATACATTTCTAAAGGGCAGAAGTACCAAAACAAAAAAGAGAACAGAAAATATACCACATGGTAAAAGACTTAAAATACAACATAAAACAAGATGATGTAACTGTGACCAGATATATCTGACATATCAGTAAAGGCAAATAAGTTTACTTAAAAAGAAAAAGAAAATATTTTCAGATTGAATCATGAAGCAGCACCCAATTCTATGCTATGTCCTAAAATATATACCAAAAACAAAGTGATTCAGAAAAGTTATATATGAAAGCGTGAGTAAAGGTATAACAGGCAAGCTAAAGATATCAGGGGACTCAAATCTAGACAAAAAGCTCTAAAGGAGATGGAGGGCACTTTATAAGGCTAAGATAAACCTTAATATGTATGATTATCTATACACCAAATAATACTGCATCAACTTCCGTAAGTAAAGACTACTAGACTTATAAAAGGAGAAATAGATAGGAACACACTAAAAATAGAGAACAGATCAAGAAAAGTAAAAGGATAAAAAAACCCCAAAACAATATAATGAAGAAGGCAATCTTAGGGTTATGTATTAAACGTTGTACTCTCAGAAGATACACCTGCTTTTCAAAAACCCATTCATGAAAATTGATCATATATTGGGCTACAAAGAAAATCTTAATAAATTCCAAAAGGTAGTTAATATAGAAAAAAAATTCTCTGAAAACATAACAAAAATGTTATGAACAAAATTAGAAAATAAAAGGATTCCTTAAACCAAGAAATTGTAAACTGTCTATTAAAGAATTCTTGAATCAAAGAGAAAATACAAAATGAAATTGCAGAATTCCTAGAAAATAAAGTAATAAAAACACTATATAGCAGAATCCATGAGATAAAGTCAAAGAATACCCAGAGGAAAATTAATAGCCTTAAATTTATCAATAAAAATCAAAGACTGGGGCTGGCCCAGTGGCACAGCAGTTAGGTTTGCACACTCTGCTTCAGTGGCCTGGGGTTCACTGGTTAGGATCCTGGGTGAGGGCCTACATACCACGTATCGAGCCATGCTGAGGCTGGCGTCTCACATATAAAATAGAGGAAGATGGGCATGGATGCTAGCTCAGGGCCAATCTTCCTTAGCAAGAAAAAAAAGAGGAGGATTGGCAGCAGATGTTAACTCAGAGCCAATCTTCCTAAAAAAAAAAAAAGGGGGGGGGGCAGCCCAATGGTGCAGTGGTTAAGTTTGCACATTCTGCTTCGGCATCCTGGGGTTCACCAGTTCAGATCCCAGGTGCAGACCTATGTACTGCTTGTCAAACGATGCTGTGGCAGGCATCCCACATATAAAGTAGAGGAAGATGCGCACGGATGTTAGCTTAGGGCCAGTCTTCCTCAGCAAAAAGAGCAGGATTGGTGGCAGATGTTAGCTCAGGGCTAATCACCCTCAAAAAAAAAAAGACTGAAAAAAAATAATTTTAGCATGTAACTCAAAAGTTAAAAAAGAAGAATAAATAGAAAACAGAAATAAGAAATAAAGAGAAAAGCAGAATTAATGAGTTACAAACAAAAAGCAGTATAAATAAACAAAAAGCTGGTTCTTTGGAAAGATCAGGGAAAAGAAACCACTAGGTAACAAATAGAATAAGAGGGAGAAAGCATAAACATACAAAGTAAGAAATTACAATGGGGAAAGAATGAAGAAACAGAAGGAATTAAGAAATATCACTGAAAGAAACTGAAGAAGACACAAACAAATGGACAGATACTCTGTGCTCATGGACTGGAAGAATTAATATTGTTAAAATGTCCATATTACCCAAAGCAATCTACAGATTCAATGCAATCCTTAGCAAAATTCAAATGGCATTCTTCACATAAACAGAAAAACAATCCTAAAATTTGTATGGAACTACAAAGACCCTGAATAGCCAACCAATCTCGAGAAAGAACAAAGCTGGAGGCATCATGCTTCCTGATTTCAAACTATATTACAAAGCTACCGTAATCAAAACAGTACGGTATTTGCATAAAAGCAGACACACAGACTAATAGAACAGAATAGAGAGCTGAGACATAAACCTATGCATATGGTCAATTAATTTATGACAAAAGAGCCAACAATATGCAATTGGGGAAGGACAGTCTCTTAAATAAATGATATTGGGAAAACTGGACAGCCACATGCAAAAGAGTGAAACTAGACCACTATCTTATACCATACACAAAAATTAACTCAAAATGGATTAAAGACTCCTAAAAGAAACATAGGCAGTAAGCTCCGTGACATCAGTCTTGGTGATAATCTTTTAGACTTGGCACCAAAAGTAAAGGCCAAAAAAGCAAAAATAAACAAGTTGAACTACGTCAAACTAAAAAGCTTCTGCACAGCAAAGGAAACCATCAACAAAGTGAAAAGGCAACTATGGAATGGGAGAAAATATTCACAAATCATATATCTGACAAGGGGTTAATTTCCAAAATATATAAAGAACTCATACAAGTCATAACTAACAATTAAAAAATGGGCAGAAGATGTGAATAGACATTTTTCCAAAGAAAACATACAGATGGCCAAGAGGTACATGAAAAGATGCTCAACATAACTAATCATCAGGGAAATGCAAATCAAAACCACAATGAGATATCACCTCACATCTGTTAGAATGGCTATTATCAAAAAAACAAGAACAAGTGGTGGCGAGGATGTGGAGAAAGGAAACCCTTGCACACTGTTGATGGCAATGTAAAATGGTGCAACCACTATGGAAAACAGAATGGCGGTTCCTCAAAAAATTAAAAACAGAAATACCATATGATCCAGCAATTCCACTTCTGAGTATTTATCCAAAGAAAACAAAAACACTAACTCAAAAAGATAAATGCACCCCCATGTTCACTGCAGCATTTACAATAGCCAAGACATGGAAACAATCTAAGTGTCCACTGATGGATGAATGGATAAATAAAATGTGGTGTGTATACGTGTGTGTGTGTGTGTGTGTATACATATAAAAAAAGTCAGAGGAAGACAAATACCATATGATCTCACTTATATGTGAAATCTAAAAGAAAAAGAGAGAAAACCTATAGATACAGAGAATAGACTGGTGGTTGCCAGAGGCGGCAGGTTGGGGGTAGATGAAATGGGTGAAGTTGGTCAAAAGGTACAAACTTCAGTTGTAAAATAAGTAAAAGATGGGGATATAATGTACAGCATGGTGACCACAGTTAATAATACTGTATTATATATTTGAAAGTTGCTAAGAGAGTAGATTTTAAAAGTTTTCATCATACATACAAAAATCTGTAAGTGTGTGGTGATGGATGTTAACTAGACTTACTGTGGTGATCATTTCACAATTCATACATATATCAAATCATGACAACACCTGAAAAAAATCACTGAGACTTTTTTGAATTTTTGTGTAACTCTTTATGCAAATAACATTTGAAAAACTGAATGCAATGCATAATTTTTCTATGAAAATAAAATTTATCAAAACTGAGCCCAGAAGAGATTTTAAAAAGCCTAAACAAATCCATTCTGTAGAAGAAATAACATCATCAAGGAGCTACCTCCAACATAAATCATGCCCAGATGGTATTAACAAAGGAATTTGACCAGATTTTTAAGGAACAAATAATTTCAAGCTATTTAAGCTATTCCAGAGCAAAGAGAAAATGAAAAACTTCCAAATTATTTTTATAAAGTGACTATATAGTGATCCTAAAACCTGGCAAACATTGTACCAAACAAAAGGAAAAAGAAAGTATGACTTACAAATCTTGAAGCAAAAATTCTAAAAATATGAGCAAAAAGAACCTAACAGAAAACAATAATATATCATGATTCAGATAGATTTTATTCTAAGAATGGAAAGATGGTTCAAAATCGGGTAATCAATTAATTAACGTAATTCATTCCATTAACAGATCCAAAGAGGATAATTATATGATCATTTTCCACAGATGCTGGGCATTTGATAAGACTCAACATCCAATGTTGAGGGGAGGGGGAAAACAAAACAAAATAGCAATCAATGGACTTTCTTGATGTGATAAAAACATATTTATCTCACCTCTAAGCAAGCCCCTTACTTAATAGGGAAACACTAGACATGTCAGGGACAAGACAAGGCAGCACTGAAGGGATCAATCAAAACAATTAAGTAAGAGAAAGAGAAGAATTAAAAAGGAAGAGGTAAAAACTACCTCTATTTGAAATATGATTCTCTTAAGTTCTCTAGGTATATAATAAGCTGAAAAATTATCACAAAAAGTAAGAGAATTCAGTAAAGTAGTAGAAGAAAATAGTTTACATAAACACAATCATGTCACTTAAGCAAACATCAAGCAGTTCGTTAAAAATTACAATAGAAGACTCTATTTATAACAGCAACAAAGTAGGAAATGCCCAGAAATTAATAAAAAGTATTTAAAACCAAGATAAGCAAAAATTTAAAACATTCTTTAAAGACACAAAAATATACTTGACAAAACGAGAAGACATACTTACTACCTGTATCAGTCAGGTCCTAGTCAGGAAAACAGAAACCATATTATGTATTTCAAACAGAAAATTTACTCCAGGGAATTGGTTACACAGGTACTAGAAGACAGATAAAGTAGAAACACTGAGGCAACTAATAAATAATAACTGTAAGAAGATGCTACCACTCCCAGAGCTAAGATTACAAAAGGTGGGGTTATCAGAACCTAGCATCTTAGAGAAGGGGCCTGTGGAGCCATTACTAGACCTCGGAGAGCACCCCCCCATCCCACTCCTGCTGCTGCTGCTGCTACTTCTGAGGAAATGTGATGAGTCTGGTTCTGAGAACGCCAAAAGAAGCTGGACCACTGAAGCCTGGAGCCAACCACTGCTGCTGGAGATAACTACCATTTGCAGAAGCAATGCTGATAGAAAAAGACAAGACGACCCTTCTTCCCTTCATCCTCCAATAAGGCAGAACCTAACAAATCCAGTAGCAACAGAGTCTGGGGAATGAGGTTGGGAAAGCCTGAGACCCAGCATCAGACAGCAGAGTATAAGAATAAATTTTGAGTTGAGAGACATTAGCTAAACAGTCGGCCCAGATCACCCTTCATAAAATGTCCATACTTGCATAAAATGTCAATAACTATTTCAAGTTTCCTTCTAATAAGATGGAACTATCTTTTATGTAAATGAAGGCACTCTTATCCTCTCCGCAAAAAGGGAGAAGCAAAGTCCCAACAGTAACTGTATCCATCTCCGGATGATGTTAAGACCTTTTCTACTCAAACCACAATTCGTTAAGAACTTCATGTTTAAACTAAAAAGTTTATTTTTGGACACAGAAGTATTAAGAGGCACCTCCCAGAGAATTCTCTGGATTCCAAATATAGCCCTCTCAGCACCCATTTTGTAGTAGTAACCAATTTCCCCTTGGTAATTGGGATCAATCACCTCAGTCAATTGAGTACCTGCTTCTTTGTCGGCTGGTTCAGCAACCTGAGGAATCCCAAATGGCTAGGTGGTAGTCTCAAATTCTTAAGTCAACTGTTGTGTCCCTTGGTGGAAGCATGCTATCTATGAGGGTTTGTTTCCTTGGACCTTCCCTGCTATGAAGTTCTCCTCAGTTAGGGTCCAGCAGAAAAACAGAAACACACTAGGTAGTTCAAAAAGAGAGGATTTACTACAGAGAATGTGTTTCTCAAGTATTAGAGGACTGTGAAAGCCAATGTGGAACACTAAATTAATCCACAGTAACTGTAGGAGGCAGCCACCACCTAGAGGGAAGAGGCAGGGTGACTAGAACCTAGGAGCTTGGAGGAAATGCCCCCAAAGAGTTGCTGCTCTGCTTAGGAGGAAAGGTACTACTGTCCTAGGAATGTCAAGGAGGGCTTCACAGAAAAAGTGATGGTTGAAATGGGTTTTTTGTAGAATGAATAAAGTCTACCAGTCTATTCAACCCATATAACTAAGGCATCCACATTATAACAGGCCTGGTCATTTAGAAACAGTTGCAGGGCCTACCACTTTTTTACCACCACATTAAAAGTATTAGTAAATATGTCAAAACATAGGTGCCGTAAGGTGGCCAAAATAAAACTAGATGATTAAAAGCCATCCTTTCCTAGTTCAGATGTTAGTTTAAAGACAGACACTGTCCGATACAGTTTCTCTGACCAGAAGAGCACATATTTACCAGGTAAACAGTGTATGAACTTAGGCATCACCATTCTTTCTGAGGAGGGTAGGCAAACCATTATATAGGGATCCACTTTGCTGCCTAGCATGATTGCTGGAGCAGGGCAGTATCACACTGATTTACTGAGTCCTAGAATCTTATCTGGGTGCACTGTCTCCTCTTTCCCTCTTTTTCTAGGGCTGTGCCTATTTTCCATAACTTACAAGGCATTTTTTTTAAAGTTGGGGAAAAGGCATTTGCACACTAAAAGGGAAGTGGGTGGTAGTGAAGACAAAGCACAGGAAAGAACCCTTTAGGATCAGAGAAGGATACAACCACAAGAATTTTCTGGTATGAGGAGTATATTTTTGGGTATGTGGACAGATTGGAGTGCACAAATTGATGCGATAATTATGAAGAAGGGATTGGGATTGTTAGGTAAGACTGCAGGAGTCTGGCTGAGAAGCAGCTGAGAGGGCAAAGGATCCCACAGATGTACTTTGAAGTACATTTGCTTCATTAAAGAACAGAGGTACAGAAAAGAACATTTCAGCTTTGGCCAAGTGAAGAATGGAGAAAATCAGGAAGAAACTCAGGTGGAGATGCGGGGGGGGGGGGAGGAAATGAAACAAGAATAAGCTGATATTTATAATTTTAAAAATCCCCTAACTCTAGTGCTAAACAGTTCTAACACCAAGTCCTCTGAAGTGACTCTGCTGATGCACAGACCTAAAAACCAGGCAGGGCAGAAAGGCAGTGAGGCTCAAAGTCACAGCCCTGGAGAACAGAGACTAGTTTAAGATTCTCAACTCTGTGATGCTTCTGTGCCAAAGACTTGAAATAGAGAAAAATGTAAAGGTTGCAGCCTATGCTTTTCCTCTAACTTGACAGGAGATTCAAAGTGCAGAGCGGATGAAAAAATGGAAAGCAAGGCTTGAGAAAAAGTACTATTCTACAGAAATTCAAGATGACTACCAGCCTGTCACTCAACAAGAATTTCGAGAGTAAGCATTTGTTCTAACCAGGATACTATGGGTTATCATGATATGGGGATTGAGGACATGACTTACACACATTATTTTCCTGAACCCAGAACCTTATTCTGTTGAGGCCACTTTTAAAATTTTTTTATACCCAACTTCAAACAGAAGGCACAAGACTCGATTTGTTTAGATGTAAGGTGAGGGTGAGGCCAATTGCTTTTATCCTTACATCTATAAATAATTGGAACTGTCATTTATACTTGATATGCATAGCAGATACTGTTCTCCACACAGATTTAGAATATTCGATCCATAACTAGCTATACCATGCATGTTTTAGGAGTTTAAAATACTATCTTCCCACTCAACGCGTTTCACAATAGGCATTAACAACCTGCTGTCTCTTTATGCATGAAAGTGTGTTACTGACTCATTCTCTACTTCCTCCTAAATTATCCTCTAGACTCTTTTTATATGCTGTGGAGTTGGAAAAAGAATTACACTACGTCAGTTTAAAACTAAACCGAGTGATGAGAAAGGTTTCAGCTCTACAATATTGAGAGAAGTGGAGGTGAGAATCTGTGATGCAAGCACTGACCATTCCTAACAAAGATTTATTCTTGTATTCAATTATTTCCTAAACTTATCCCCATTTCAAGTACACTTTAAAACCACCTATCATCAGGGTCATGATAATCATCAAATGATTGCCAGGAATTAAGTGCCCCTGAATGAGACCTACTGTACAATCCATGCATATTACCACATGCCTCCAGAGTATACACACATTGATACACACAAAGGATTTTATAACAAGATTTATTATTAAATTCTAGGGATGTGAAGGAAAAGTACAAAACAATGCTGCTTATAGTTCATGAGGCAGGTCTCTAATGAATAGATCAGTAAGTAGATAGAGACACTTTTCTCAATGTTACACAGAGTATACGAACCGTTGGTGCTCTCATCGTGTACCATGTTCTAACTTCCTCTGTCCATAGATAAATTAAGAAATGCTGAGGATTCTGGAAAACCATTATATAAGACCCCAAGTAAAATAATCTCACCTCCATTCTTCCCAATTTGAAGTCTCCCAGAAAAGGCCATAGCGCAGAAGAACAAACTTGTCAACCACCTAGAGAAATTTCACTAATATCTTCAAACTGGAAATTCATCTAGACACTTTCTAAAGTAATACATTTAACGTTTCCCAAAAGTGCTTCCTTGACTACTTTAAAAGCAAAATATATTTTAAAAAATAAAATAAAGGGCAATGTAAGGGTATCAGAGTTACAAGAAGTCAAGTTATGTTTGTAAGTGTAAATGAGGGTGCTGCAAAAGCCCTGTCTGGATAGTTGGAAAGTTTTATATGGCCAGCATTTTGGAAACTGGAAGGAAATTCTGTTAACTTTTTTTTGGTTACATAAGCCCTCCTAGAAGAGCCAAATGTCCTCTTAGCCCAAGCAACATCATTTGACCATAGTAATCAACTTCCACACTGGTGCTCAAAGTCTCTGGATTTTAAAACTCGAATAAAGGAATTTTTAAATCTACCCACCTTCCTCAAGCCAAGCTCTTCTCTTAGAGACTGCACTTCAAGTTTTCTGAATGGGATAACTCACCACAAGAAAAAATGCCGACTATTCCCTCTGCATCTCCTCCCTAGATTTCCACAGGGAATCAACAACATGGCCTCTCCTTGTCTTACCAGTTCCCAGAGCTGTAGCCAGCCAAGTAGTCTGGTAAACTTGTTGTCCCCCTACAAGGTCCCTGGTTGGGGTACTTCAAAAAAGCCTAAGAACGTTAAGGCAAGGGAACACTTGAGGTCTCTTTTTTAACATCTAGTGAAAAAAACAAAAAACATTTACAATGACTTAGAACATTAAAGTTCTTTTATTACAAAAGTCTATACAATGAAGTGCCAGACACAGCAATGCAATTATACCGGTGGTCGTATATATCTATATATTATTTGTATATAGATATACAGTTTTTACTTGTACCAAAGTAAAACTATCACAAACTGCCTAATTCTACCACCTACTGCTCAACTATGACACACAATACTGTCACATAGCGTTAAGTGCTGCCATGCCACTTTACCTATTCTACTTGCAACCAAACATTAACAGTGAATATAACCAACATCATGAAGCAGCCGTTAATTCTAAAATGAAACCAGTCAGGCCACTGACTTATAAAAATATGGTACTCATATAGATTTAGCATTATAAAGAAGGAATATATTATTTAAAACATTTAAATAGTGCATATGGACATTTTTGCATGTGGTATATAAAATAAAACATTCATATAAAATAATATACAGTGCACATTAAATTAGATGTTTGGATAGACTCCTGTCTGGAGACTGAAAGAAATTAATTAAATGTACACTGCATGATGGATTCAAATCAAAGTGATACACCTTTTGGTGTTTTCAATTTCACTTTTCTAGGTACACATTATGAACTTAGCTGTATAAAAGGAAACCACAAGAAAAGGGGTGGATTTAGTGCTTTATTCCCCAACTACATGTTCACTACCAACGAATATTCCCTCCCCTCAAAAAAGGCATTGCACACACAGGTGAAATGTGAAGTACTAGAAATGCTACTTATTACCAAGCTACTTCATGTGCTTACTATGTTATAGTGCCAGAAGTCTGAGGTTCATGCTTACCTCACCTTATTAAAGGATGTTGCAAAAATCCATTTTTGTATGGAACAAATTGTTAATATTAGCTAGTTAAGAAAACCATGCATGAGTCACTGCATGCAAAACATGGGCACAGTCAAAGTGAGACACTTATCCATCCAAAAAAGCACCAGGAAAAAAGTTTAACACTTAGATCAAGCCTGACCGGATTATGCTGTTATATTGTTAGCATAAACAAAGTCACCATTCTATGAAAATGATTAGCAGAATACCAGGAGAGTACCTTAAGAAAAGCCATGCAAAGCCAAGAAAAAAAGATGTTTATATGTATATGACAAGGGGCATACCACTATACATATTGTAACCAACTGCTTTAAATAGCATGAGAGCAAAAGGTGGTCCCTTTAGAGGATGTTTTCTTAATGGATTTTGCTGATTAAAAGTAAAAAAGAGAAATGATGCAACCCCCCCAACGGTACATGTAAAAATGCAGTGGTATAGCCCTTGTTAAGAACAGATTTACTTCAGGCATAATGATTCTTTTGCCAGTTTAGGCCCATTTGACTGAACACACAAATCTGAGCACCATCAGAGTTCCTACATACTGACATGGCTATTTTCTCACATTATCTGGAGGTGGGTAGGGGGGAAAAAATGCAGGATCTAATCCAGACAAATCACATCATCACCAGCTGATAAACACTAACTGAGGAAACAAACAGTAACTTAAGTCCCATAGGCAGCATGAGAAATGATTCAGTTCTGTGTGTGATGTGCGGTGTGTGTTTTCACTATACTAATAAGCAAGGTCACTTTTTGGTCTACCCTCTGATATCTTCATCCAGGAGCTGTGTGACCACTGAATTGCAAAATTTTGCTAACATACTACCTGCGAGAAAGTGTCACTTTGGGAATTAAACAGAAATGTGTTCCACAGTAGGACATGAAATTTCAGTTGATTTTGGTTTTCTAGGAAAACATTTGCATATGTGCATATTTATAGGCTTTTCTTTCAAATTTTCAGTCATTCTGTAAGAAAAAGGCAACCGAAGAATTCAATGTGAAGATTTTCCTCTCAATTTTCTTCAATAATGAAAAAATAATAATAATAAAGTTGATAATAACAAAAAGCTTGGATTTCCAAAGTTCTTGAAGTTGAAAGGATAAAACACTAGTCTTTTGCTAACAGGATGTATCTGTAGTACAAAACAATGAAGAAAACTGGATGTTTGTTAAAGGTGGAGAGGACAGTCTGTGGTTAATATGAAACATCATGCTCCCTAGAGAGGGTCTACTTACCCTCCCATCACATCTCTAGTGGCTCCACAACCAGGTACAAAATGAGACTCTCTGAGTGCCTGACAAAATGAACTCAAGTACCAGCCAAGTACACGATGATAGCTTCAGAGAATACAACTGATTTTATGATGTTTTCAAGGAGCATATTTTATATTGATTTTGAAGAATCTTGTTTGCTGATAAGAACTTCAAGCAGTCTAAGTTTGGCTTTAATTTTCTTGTATTCCCTGTACTCCTCAAGCACTGGAACACGATCCTCTTTCTGGGCATTCCTAGGGTAGAAAATAAAATCTATAATATTCTAGAGATCATCTGGAAAATAAAGTCCCAGAAGTTGTCCTAATGTGAGACACAATGTTACCAAATATAAGTTCAAATAAAAAATTGTGCTGTAAGAAAAAAGATTATTGGACTAATTCCCCTCATGTCCAAGGAACATTTCTAAAATACTTTTTGATGCATTTCTCTACTGACAGATTAAATGATGCTATACTTATTATCAATGATCATTGTAGATAACCAGAGGTAACCAAATCTTTTAATAAGACATGCCTCGATAGCCTCTGTCAGGTCTGTGAGTGTAAGTGCTGGAGGGCTACACTGAGTCATTTCGTACATTTACTTAACTGCGGCTTCGGTGAACTGAGATGTAAAAGTAAAACATCATCTTACCCATAGCAAGCAAGTAGTTTTCCCACTTTATATTAATGACACAATGCAATTCAATCACTAGGTAAAGCATCAAACCATCCTAAGTATGATTGTAAACAAAGTTTTCTTCCAATAAGACAAAGAATTAGAAGGTACTTGGAAAATGCATTCCTACATTTGAGATTTTTTTAACCATTTCTTCCAACCTATACAGAAGACTCTCAAAGTAAACACATTCAGGAATTCTTAATATAGCTATTGGCTTGGTAAGACCGCCCAGTTACATGGAAAAACTTTTCTGAGGCCTGAGATAACCCTCATTTCTGGCCACCATCTGAATTAGAATCTATTTTTCTTACTTTTAAAAGAGGCTCACTGGGTCAACTGTGCATTACCCAGTTAGATAAAGGCATATTGTATTCAGGAGCCACATGACTGCCACACCGTTACACACCTTGGAAATGAGCAGCCTGGAAGGACTCAACATGCAGCCTAAGCAGCAGCGCTCTCAAACTAGTTGAGGATACCACTCATGTTACAGGACCCTTTCTAAAAGGAGAAATATCTCGTTTCACAAACACTTCCAAAAGGGTGAGGATGGAGAATTAAAAAACGAAGAATAACTGCCACTCAACCAAGCCTCCCTAGGACAACTTTGAAATATTTTATCAAATGTTTACTCCAGTTCTGACTTTTTCTGGTCATTAATAGCAGAGCTTCAAAGTATAAACAGGTGTTTTTCACTTTTATTTTCAATGCTAACATACTTATATGTGCAATTTATTTCTATTCCTATACAGTCATGTGTCAATTAACAATGGGCTACATTCTGAGAAATGCGTTGTTAGGCGATTTCATCATCATGCGAACACCATAGAGTGTACTGAAGGGGAACAAAATTTGCGACCCCAAAATGTGTCTCTTTAACATGAGGGTTATTTTTGACTATTTTTAAAAAACAAAAGACTCAGAAAATCTTGTTACCTCCTCCTTAAAAAGAATTCAGGTTAAAAAAACCTGTCTCAGGAAGTGAGCTATCACCTTAGCATAACATGACTAGGTGGCAGACAGGGAGGAACACAGAAAAGCCTGTTCGTTGGGCTCCCCTCTGTGTTCTTCTGTTTCTGTGTGGCCAAGCAAACACCTGATTTCCAAATGTTTACTCCTTTCCACCTACCTGTGAATTGCCTACCTTCCCTTTGAAGTCCCTGACTCTCCCCACCCCCAGTATCTTTTGTCTTTAGCTCAACATGGTATTTAAGGTGAGGGTTTCGGCCATTTTGGCGAGTTACTCAGTTTTCCTGGGTTTCTCCCATGCATATATGTTATTAAACTTTTGTTTTTCTCCTGTTAATCTGTCTCATATCAGTCTAATTCTTAGATCAGCCAGAAGAACCTAGAAAGGTAGAGGAAAATTTCTTCCTTCCCTACCATATTTACATAAACCTAGATGGCATAGCCTATTACACACCTAGGCTATATGATACTAATTTTATGGGACCACAGTCATATATGCAGTCCATCACTGACCAAAACATCATTATGCAGCGCATGACTGTATATTCCTTTATTTTAACATATGGGCACTTGTGAATTTAACGAGAAAGAGAAGTCAATTTTGTGATGCTCAACAAACCTTCCATTTTGTTGATAAAATGCTTCTTCAAATTCCCGTAATGTTTTACGTAGTTTCTTTTTTTCAGCTCTGGCTTTCCAAAGTTGTTCCAGTAATTCAGGCCTAAAATTGAGACGGGAAGAAATCATTATTGAAGGGGTACTCTTGATTCACTATGTTCTTAACAGTGGTTAGAACCTTGGCTGCAAACTAAAATGAGCTGGGAGCTTTTAGAACATACCAATGCCTAAGCTCCACCCCAGAGCAACTAAATCAGAATAGCTGCAGCTAGGGCTCTGCATCAGTACTTTAAAAATTAAATCCTTAGGTGATCCCAAAGTGAAGCTAGGGCTGAGAACCACAGCCATACACCCTATCAGGTAAAGAAGCTGACAGAGAACAAACAAACAACTCTCATCTGGTTCCTGCACTTTTTTATGTAGCAAATGTAGGATTTTAGTTTTTTAAATTTTTAAAACATAATAATGGTTAATATAGAAAAATTTAAATGACAACATGTATTTGTAAATCACATTTTGTAAAAAGGACGATCTCTTGAGCACTGTATTAATTCCCTCTAAATGCTCAATTATTTAAAACTGAATTTCTTGGCATGTATATTTTATTACACAAATAGGCTAAACTCACAAACCAGCATACATACATAGAAGCTGCTCGAGTACTTGACAACCGGAGATCCAGAGCCAGTTTTTCTTGATTTTCTTCAACATCAGATTCTGAGTTTTCCAATGAAGTCTGTGCCTGTACAGCAGTTCTCAAGATATCAGTTAACTCAGGGGACAGACTGACACCATCTTCTTCTTCTTCCTAAAAACATACCAAACAGGCCTTCACTGTTAGAAACTTTTTTCTTTAGGAAAGAGATCAGCAAATGATTTCTCTTAAAGATTACCTTGATTTCTTCAAAAAAATGTGCAGTTTCTCCTTCTATGATTGGCTGTAACATCTGACCCCTTCGCTTGGTGGACGGAGATCCCTGTAACATCAACATACAAATGATTTACATTTTAAGGTTTTAAAGCGTTCAATGAAGCTTCACTTCACCATGGAACAGATACTAAACTTTATTTTCAAAATCCTAACCATATGCTTTTAATTTTTTTAGGAATTCCATCACTATTTTATTTTTGCTTGTATTTTCTTGTTACGTATGTATAAGAGTGATAAATGATAACTTGTACCTAGGTAATTCTAAAAGAGTTTATTGAATAAATATTCTAAAAATTCTAAAAGATAAGAAAGCATTATATATAATTAATTGGGAGCATTGTTCTCGTTAACAATAGCTGTCAACTCTTTTGGTCTGAGGACCCCTTTATAATCCTTTTTAAAAAACGGAGCTTTGGGGACCAGCCCCATGGCCAAGTGGTTAAGTTCACATGCTCTGCTGTGGTGGCCCAGGGTTTCGCCAGTTCGAATCCTGGGAGCTGACATGGCACCACTCATCAGGCCATACTGAGGCAGCATCCCACATGCCACAACTAGAAGGACCCACAACTAAGAATACACAACTATGTACCGGGGGCCTTTGAGGAGAAAAAGGAAAAATAAAATAAAATCTTTAAAAAAAAAAAAACAAGAAGATCCAAGATGGCGGCGTGAGTAGTCTTCTTTGACTCTCCCCCTTCGAATCTACAACTAATTGGACATTCATTGCTTAACAAAGGATATCCATATAGCATGTCAGGACACCTGAGAGACCCACGCTGCTATACATCAGAAGGCAGACGGACTTCCCTCCGGGAGGAGGTGGAGATAGGTGAAAACTCTCTGACTCCGACCCCCGAACAGCCTAGTACCTGCAAGTGGCGTTCTTCCAGCGGATGCCCCCAGAACATCGCCACACACCAAGGGCAGGAGGGAGCGCACACCAGAGGAGCAACGGTGGAAACAGGTGACCAGAGCCCTACCTAAGCCCCCGGCAATTACACCTAAGCCCAGAGGGAAGATCCAGAGTTACACACTGGAGGTGGCGGGGAAAACCCCTACCTGCCATTAGCGGAGAGGCCCCGCCCAGCATCCACAACGCCAGGAGGCTCCCGGAGAGAACCCCAAACAGGGCGGCGGCCTGCCAGCTGCCGCCACCAGCCCCAGTGACCGGGCTTTCACCTGGGTGGGGCTCGGGGCTACCGGAGATCTCCTGGGAGAGGACTGGGGCTGGGTGGAGCTCCAGCAGCCGGCTCCGCGGCCCGAAGGGGAAACTCCAGAGTTCCGTCCGGGCAGCAGGCAAAGTCTCTACCTGCCATTAGCAGAGAGGCCCCTCCCAGCATCCACAACGCCAGGAGGGTCCCAAAGAGGAGAATCCCAGGCAGGGCAGCAGCCGGCCAGCTGCCACTGATCTCAACATCTCTGGCTATCCCTCAGACAGGGCAAGGGGCTCCCCAAAATCCTAGGGGAGGGGATTGGGGCTGGATGGAGTTCCAGCGACCTGGCTCCGTGGCCCAGGGGGAAACTCTACAGTCTCATAGCAGCCTCAGCGATAGCCTCTGCACAGCACTAGTAGAGAGCACCCACCTGGCAACTACAAGGCTGGAAGACCCTGGGACAAAAGTAGCATAGCTAGGTGAGCTAACCA